CTAGATACATTTGCAGCCAAAGAAAAAGTAGTGAGGATGATTGACAAAATTGCCGGTTAATCGGAGGCTGGAACTAAAGGTTTTCGATATTCTTGTTTTCTATTTCTAGCTTTTCCATTAACTTCAGATTGTCGGCGCAAAACAAAGGGGCGTATACTATCCCATGCTCTCATACAACTTTGTAGATGCTAAGACCCGTGGGACAAGGAGCCTCTTAAGATTCTTAAGTATTACAAAATACTAAATTATGTCCATTTAGTATGCGGCGTCGTGATTGAGTCGTAAGTGAGCTATGTATCCAAACAATGGGGTCTGAGGGTTCGGAACCCGTGTTTTTATTGTACGAGTTTTTCTTTTCTTTTACCCTAGCTAGTCCCCTGCAGGATATCCCACTGTACGCCACATCAAATACTAATGGAAAGGTTACCCGTTAAATAAAAGTTATTCTATTATATCAAATAATATTATGAATATAAGACGTTTTATTTTTAATAATATCTGTTACATGAAAACTAATACTGTGTTTCATATTATGAATATAAGAATTATTATTTCTAAGGAATTCTGTTAAATCGTAATTAATAATGTAAATAAAAATATGTATATCAGAATCTTTTAAAATTTCTTTTTATGTGCAAATTAATGCCATTGTCGCTCAGTGACCGACATGACTTCAAAATTTTGTAATTCTGACGCTTCATAATTCGTGTTTCGTTACATTGTCAATTGCAAACTACAAGTAGATAATGTACAATGATAAACATTTGAAACAATCTATTAGAGTATAACGCCCATACTGATATCATTATGAAAGTGGAAATGGCCAATACATCATTTACAATTGAGCAATCACAAATTAAACAATTAGATTTATAAGCGAGGACTATGAACCAACTCGAATCGTAGATTTATTAAAAGTAGTTTGAATGGAATAATTAGGTTGTCTGCAACTTACAAACATTTAAATGATCTTTTTTTCTATCATCACTAGTAAAATAAAATGTAACATACCTTGACAAGAAATGAACGCATTGTGATAACTATATGATAGCGACAGTGATGGTTTGATAAAACTGTATCAATTGTAGATAAGTATATATTAATAGTGTGCTGTGGTGTTTCGTATTGTTGTGTATATTTGTTATTATAATCTTCCTCCTGTATTTAACTCTTTATTTAATTTAGTATAGGAATTAGTATATTCGTGTCCATTGTATTGTGCTTAGCGTTGTGTTGTGCATGTACTATTATATTAGACAGAAGAACCCGACAATAAGTAACGCCTTGTAAATTAGTAAGGTTTTGTTTTTTATCGTCGATCGCATATCATACCTTGTTCTGTCTCAAATCTGTATCTTTATAGACTGTATCTAAGGTTTTTATTTTAACGCTGATGGCTTACAGTTGCCCAGTTTTCTTAACAATATTTATCTATATTAGACTGTATCTATTACCATACCCGCTTGAAGCATTCTTCTTCTTCTTCTTCGTCGTTGTTAATTTAGTGTTGGAAGGGATCCCCTCCAACACAATTAAGTATACGTGGCAACTGTTATGCGCCATTGAGGCCATTGACTCTGATTTCAGCCTGCTTTTCTTTTTGGATTTGCTTCCATTGCCTTTGTCCAACCAAGGACACACTACAATGCAGCAGTTGCTTGATTTTGTGGCTGTCTCCAGCTAACAAGCCTCATCTACCCCAGGGTTCCAATTCGAGACTTTTCGGTTAAGCCACCATGAGTTTAACCAACTCGACCACACCGACCCCTTGAAGTATTCAATATTTAATAGCTTGTGTTTTAATAATGTACTCTACTAAATAAAACTTTAAAATGAAGATATTTACGATAATAAAAACTGTTCTTACCACTTGGTTACTCAGTTGTTATAAATAAATGAATTATTATTATTGTTGGTTCCTTAAAACATCTAATAAAAATATGGATGCCCAATGGATTCTACCTGGAAAGGATTAAAATTTGAACTCAAGTTCCTTATCACGACGGTGACACCATGCCATAGGAAAAACAACTTTTTCGCTATAAGCGTTTTCATTTCTCTTTATAAACTTATATACCTTAAAATGTTTCTTATTTTTAGATAAGTATCAGTAGTCAGTTTACTTTGCTTCAGCAGATGTTTATTGATAAAATTACAAAATACATGATTCCCTCTATTATAGCAACACTGCATGACAATAATTATTGTGTTGTAACATTTTAAATTTTATTCTCAGAATATCACAAAACACAAAAGCATATTACGTGCATCAAATGAAATATATCGTCCCATACTATGTTTGACAAACAAGATACCCGAAATAGAGTAGGTCCTGTTTGTTTTATCATTTTATGCTGCCAAATAAAACAGTGTTCTCCTATGCTGTGTCAAAATACAAATATCATGAGCTATAACAATTAAAAACGTTGATATAATAAATACCAGTACAACAAAACACGCTAACCTGCTTAGTATATATTTTGTTATTTAAAAAAAAATTCTGTGGATAAAAAAATAGCATTTCTTTACATAAAAATCGTAAATCATCATTTAAAATATATAGATGTAAAGCAAGACAAAGCGTTAGTAAGTAAAATAAATTTAATAACTGTATAAAAATATTCTGTTCACAAAGGATTTTACATTTAAAAAGTAAAAAATGTGATCAGAAAATGCTAAATTAAGTGTATACTTTATTACAATAGATCTCTAGAAACTTATGTAAAAATTTAACCAGATGAATTTCTTCCAATAATACATTAAATTACATTTCTATATAATATCGATTTGTAATACATAATTATATTTAAGTCAAATGCCTTCGTCTATCTGTAAAATAATGAAATTTACTAAATTTTCTGATGCAGGAGAAGGTACGTACTGCGATCAACTAAACAATTTGTTTTCATACTAAAAAAAAGAAATTATTCAACATAACCAGTACTCAGCTAAAAGTAATATTATAATCAGTTATCTCCAGTATAAGTAAGTATTTGAAGGCAACGCTAAACCGATAAAACTAACAAAGAACACTATCAATGGTTATATTTTAAAGTAAAAAGTTAGAGGGTAGATAGGACCAGAGATTACAGTTAAGAAAACTGTTTTATACAATAAGATACACAGTTATATAGGCAACCGATTGTTCAGGCCCCGGGAATGGCATAGTTGAACATACTAAGATAATGAACTGCTTTTAAAACATTGTGTTCATGTTTTCAAGTACTGATATAAGCACATGAGTCAAAGTTAATATTATTTTTATCGATCTTTACATATAGTTTTGTGTTGTTTACAGGACAATCACGGAGACACTGCTTTTGAATGGGAGAGGCCGCAGCAGAAAAGAATACTTTTTACAAATTGTTTGATAATGGGCAGAGCAATCAGACAAATACTTCAATAAAAACTTGCAGAAAACAAAATGCCATACGGAGTAACTCTTCTTGTTGTCCCTTCTTTAATTTTATGATTATTGTCTATTTCCTTTGCATTTTTTAACAATATCTTCCCACTTTAAACTGTTACGGATGAGAGGTTGTCTTTCTGATAGTAAACATTTTACCAGCTCGAAGCGAAGGCTTTTAAAACTTTGCTCCGCCATTTGTAATGCTTTTTGAGATTCTATGTTTGATACTGCTGGTTTTGAAAATCCTTTAGTGAAGTAATCTAAAATACCTTGCAAATCTTCTGATGTACTACTTGATAAATTCATAATATTTCTCCAATCGCTCAAATTATTTTGTAACTGTCTGATCTCTGTTAGGTTATCCTCATCTTCCCAAAAGGTTTCTTTATTTTTTACACGTTGGAGCAACAGACATGTTAATTTACATATTTTTTCAAATAAAATATTTCCATCAGCTTTGTTTTGTTCATATGCGATTTTGAATTGATAATTGACATAATTATAACTCCAATCATCAATCAAACCAAAGACGGTTTTGTCAATATTTGGACTAGCTTCAAAGCTATACGGCAGACATCTTGTGTCCAATAATTCTTTTAGTGGTTGAACATTCGTTTTATAATCAGATCCGGGATCCTGAGTCGTCATAACGAAAACAAGAATGTAGTTGATAACTTCCTTACCAAACTTATCAGCTAACATGTAAATCATGAGCAATGTATCGTTCACATCCTCTACAGTCGATACTATGATAAATATACTGTAGCCTTCTGGGCTTAAACATAAAGATGATTTGAGATTCTCCTGATATTTAGTCGTGTCTTCAGGGTTGAAGCTCGGTACATCAACAAGTTTAATATCTCTAGAGCCTAAATGAGAAAAGTCAAGTTGAATATCGTTGTTGTGGGTTTTTCTTTCGTCGTTATCCTTCCTTTGTAGTAATTTGTTGGATATAATGTGTTTGTGGCTGTTTTTTGTCCCCATTAGAAGAATTACTGGAATCATCTTAAACTCGTTGACACTGAAGTACAAAAACATGTACATTAAAATAGTTGCTCAACAAGTGCAGTTTTTTTCCATTAAAAATTAATCTAGACAATTTTATGATACATTAATAAAAAATATTACACATTAATATTTTGTTTTGAAAATGATAAAGTTATATAATGTGTCAATTTATTCTCTTAAATATTAAATGTACTCCTCCAGATGAGCAGATTTATATAATACGTGATTGGTGTTTAAAACTGTATTTTCGATTGCGAAAAAGAGCTATTTTACATTCTTGACAATAATTTGATACATATTAAAGTCTATATTTTACTTTGGCAAAATGTGTTTAGTAGCTGTTTTAAATTGTTAGCAACAATAATAAAAAAACATTGCATATACTGCTTTGATTTATTTAAAAAAATAGATAACTAGCCGTTATTTTAAAAAACAACCAATCAGAAAATAAAATGATTATGTATTCACCTATCCAGTGTATAAGATTAAAACAATGACGTTACAGTTAAAAAAAACAACAGGAAATTAATTAATATTTCACTAAGAATTTTCATTAAGAAGCTACAGTTTTAGAAAAAAATACTTACTCCTCCGCCTTTGAAGGAGCCACAGGCCCCTGAAATTCCAATTTGCCTAAAATGTGAATAAGATAAGAAAAACTGATTTCATTTTGAAAATACAAAATAACAAACAAAACATTACTTTTAATAATGCATTATGATATTACAGTGAACTGAACTGATTTAGATAATATTTTCATTATTTTTAGAAACACGTTTTAATTGAGTGCCATTTCATTTAACCAGTACTGTTGTACGTAGTTTGTAAACGACCATTTTAACAACGCTATTAATCTACACGACCTTCACATGTTGAGACCAGTAAATTGTTGGTGACTTTGTTTGTTATCAACAAAGTATCTGAGAGCTTTAATAATGGAAACACAACTTACCATGATTTTCTCGATTTCTGAAGAAATAAAAAAAAAAACTTTGGAAGGAAATAAAAAGTAATTTTTATTGTTATTGTTATTTAATCATTCAACGTTTATCCGTTCCTAACAAACTTTGTTGCATTCTCACTTGTAAAATGGAATCGAAATGTTCAAGTATAACATATGCTAAAAGTTAATATACAAAGTTAAATCAATTACTACTTCTGTCGAAGTTACTTACCGTTCATTAATAAGAACTGTCATTTCCTTCATCTCATGTTTTTCTAAATATTTGATTTTAAAGTTATAAAATGATATTCTATACACAAACATGAAGGAAAGCAAAGGACTGATTTTGTAGACAGAAATTGGAATTGAAAAAAAAGTTTTGGAAACTAAATATTCATTATTACATTTTAAAAATAATTTCATAACACACATATTCACACCTTACACAGACGTACACACATACAGACATACACACATACATACATACACATTCTCTCTCTCTCTCTCTCTCTTACTCTCTCTCTTTTACACACATGTGTGTAACAAACATAAGAATTCAAACATTTCTACTAGAAATAATCCATGCAGTGTTAAATACCCCAAGGTATGGAGACCCCTCATGTTTCTATCACTAAATACACTCAAAATATTTTTTAAACATGTTTAACGCATAAATTACCTTCACTTCGTGTAGGGTGCTTTCTGCAAAGAATAACGCATGTAGTATCAGAGATTTTAGTATTTATATAGTTTACAAATAATTAATTCGTTTTGTATTTATTTATATGTTGATAAAATATTTTTTTATAAATGCAATATGAAATTTTACATGAAATGTTAAAACAACTTCCCAGTGTCCGTTTATTAAATAGTAAAACTTAAGCATTACTTTAACAATTATTTTAAAATAAATTACTGTAACTAAATTGGTATAAAACGTTTAATCTAAATATAACTTACCTTAAACATGGGCACGAATGACCTCGTCGTTTGCCTAAAACACAAGCAGATGTTAGTTTTTAAAAAAAAACCAAACAGACTGCATATTATAGCAATTTTTTGACAAAATATACAACTAAAAATATCAATATCCGTAATATTTGGGTTTCTTATCTGATAAGATAATCTAAAAGTCAAGAATATGTCTAAATATCAATTATGTAGAACTACATTACATTCGATAAAAGTCTAATAGCAGCTATATTACTACCGAATAATGTAGGTAAAGATGTAACATACCTTTTAGGCAACATAGTATCAATAAAATAATGGCAGCTGTAGTTGATATTGACGTTACAGCTGCTAAAGCAATTATAATCGGGCTGACTGAAATATATAAATATAATCTTAAAACGTATATATATATATATATATATATATATATATATATATATATATATATATATATATATATATATATATATATATATATATATATATATATATATGGAACATACATAAAAACATTTTTTCTTTTAATTATGCCATAGTTAGGATAAAAAAAAAACACATTAAAGACTGTATTTTAAAAATTTACTCATGTACGTACTGCTTCTGTGTAGTTCAATTTGGCATTTGATGTAACCTTCATTTGAAAAAAAATAACATTTCGTAGTGTTACATGTTCTATAATATAAAACAATAAGTAATTGAAAAGTTACATTTGGTGGTTATTTTTTTATTGATTTAAAAGCTGTATTTGAAATGTTAATTTAAAGTTTAATTTAAATATATTAATATGTTAAAAAAGTTTCTTTAAATAATTATACTGCTACCTTTAATATAATTGTGATAGATCTTTATGTAAGACATAAAAATCTACATTATAATTTGCATTTATATCAGACTGCGATTAATAGGAATTTTTGAAATCATTTACCTGAGTTGTGTATCCCATTGTGTTTATTAAATCTATAAGTTTGCGGTCCTATGTTGACTACAATCGTATCGTTGACTAACCATGTAACATCAGCCTTGCCTTGGTCGCTATCGAGCCTCTCACAACTACAGCTAATATATGAACCTCGGTCTATGCACGTTTTGACTACTACAGCAGATAAATCTATAATACAAAATACGGCTGATGAACTAATTGAATAATGGGTCTATCATGTTTTTGACATATTTGATGACATTTTCATGATTTTTGTTTATATAAATTGAAAAAGTTAAGAAATAAACTATTCGAATTTTATAAAATCATAGTAGATCCATAATACTAAACGTATAATATTACGTAAACACTTTAAAAAGTTTAGATCAGTATAACTTCTACATTATTTTTAATCAAATAAACTTGCAAGTACCTATATCTATTGAAATGCTAACATCAACTCCTATATCGCTGTGAGATCCAATCGTATTTGGATAAATGTAAACATCCATGTCATTTCGTTTAAAGTTGAGGTCGTTGGTTGGTATTTTTGCTGTACATTCAGCTTTAAAGTAAACCGGGTCGTCCAAAGTTCTAGTGTTATCGCAGGAGATGATGTTGGGTTGTTCTCCATGTCTTCTCACCATCATCTGGGGTTGTATGACAGATGAAAACAATATTTAACGATAATAAGTGCTACAGTGCTTTCTATAGACTGTAAGTAAATAGTTTTGAGGTAATATTTCAATTAATATAACGCAGACATATGCTGTTTTTAAAACAAAATTACAAATACCTAAACTAAAACAATTACACACACACATTCGCACACACACATATATGCACACACACAACCACACACACATACACACATACATACACACATGTATGTATATATATATATATGTATATATATATATATATATATATAATGTATATATGTATATATACACACACATTTTCTTTCAATGTTACCGTACCATGGCCTCAGGATAAATTTTGTTTGTCCAACACTTGATTGTAGCCTCATCTGTCGACCAGGTGGTACGACAAAGTACCTGTTCCGGTTTAGCTGTTAGCATGAACAATAAAACCGGTGATCATTTGATGTAACATACGGACGTAAAACTAAAAAAAATTGTGTAATACAGTATTTAATTTAAAAAAGCTATTTTCTCAGCATCCTATGTAAACATTTAAAAATGTTTGTGTTTTACAATATTTAATTTTAAAAAAGCTATCTTTTTACCATTTTTCGTAAAGAATTATAAATTTTAGTTTATTTTAGTCAGTAATATAATACTTTTGTCCTAAGGATATATTCTATCATATAAAATTATAAAAAAAATTCATGGTACTATTTGTTTTGTTTAGCTCGGGTTAGTCTAGATGCAGTATGACACTGTGTAGTTCCTATTAAACAAGACTACCGTAAAAAAAATTTAAAACTGTGGATATTTTGGTGTCCATTTTTTCTGTGATATGCTCGTTAAATACTTTAATACGCTGCCAAATTAACTGGATAAAGCAGATTAACAAGTTGTATTTATAAGTTTGTTGGCAGTCTGTTGCATGATGTCATACGATACTGTCAGCAAATACACCTTGCTACCCAACCGTGTACACCAGATCTTCAGAGTTTCTTCCAGGCATATCTTCGGGGGGGGGGGGGGGCTAAGCCCCTCCCCGCCAAAAAAAGCCTACCGCCCCCCTCCCCCGAACGAAATGAAAATTATATAGAAAATATATACTTTTAACAGTGTCCGCCAGCCCCCCCCCCCCCCCGAAGAAAGTCTACCCCCCCCCCCCCCCGAAAATTTCAAGTGCCCCCTCGCCAAAAAAAGCCTACCGCCCCCCTCCCCCGAACGAAATGAAAATTATATAGAAAATATATACTTTTAACAGTGTCCGCCAGCCCCCCCCCCCCCCCCGAAGAAAGTCTACCCCCCCCCCCCCCCCCCCGAAAATTTCAAGTGCCCCCTCGGAGAAAAAAGTCTGGAAGAAACACTGCATATCTTTTATAATATTGTATTACGTTGTATTTTTGTTCATATAGAATAGAACAACAAGACTATCGAAAAAAAAACTGTAGCCATTTTAATGTGTCCCCTCTTTCTGGGATATAGTCGTTAAATACTTTAATACGCTGTTAAATTAACAAGATAAAGCAGATTAATAAGTTTGTATTTATCACTGTGTTGTCATTCTGTTGCATGATGTCATATAATACTGTCAGCGAACACACGCTCGCCGTGTTACCCAACTGTGTACACCATGTTTTTTATCAGATTTTATTACGTAGTTTTTGTTCAAATTAGACGACCGAGAGAAATGCGGAGTTTACCTACCATAAACTTGTAAAGAACACATATACAATACTTGAGCAACAGGACTTGAACTGTGTGTCTTTAACAGCCAACTTCCCTTAGCATTATGCGACACCAGTCGAGACACACTGTGAATGTTAACGTTGAAATCGATACTGCTGTTATGTTTGTCAACGTTGGCACTGAACCAGCTGTAATCCACAATGCTGCAGTCGCCGGTGTCCACGGGACAGTCGGCGTACATGACGTCATCTTTCAGCCATGACAGCATCGTACTGTCAGTGGGGAGGGATGACGTGGTGTATGTCAGTTGAAATGGGGCTCCTTCTTCTGCTACGTCACAGGACTTAACACCTTCAGAAATATGAAAAGATTAGTCAATACTATTCAGATACATCAAATGAACACACACACACACAATAAGTACACTCACAAACACAGGCACACTCATCCACACATACACATACATATAGAATACAAACACACACACATTTGTATATAAATATAAGTAAATAAATAAGTAAATAAATATAAATAAATAAATATATTAAAACGTATATATTTAAATATAAGTGTACATTTAATATATTATTTAGATTTCTATTCCTGATTTTATTCCTGTTTAAAAGCAAACTATTTTTTTTTCAAGCAGCATATCTGTAATAACTGATCATGACGTAATAGATTACTTACTTAGTGTTGCACGTTTTCAAACTTTTGTTGATCAAGTAAAAAAAAAAACTTTAAATATGTCTCTATCTTAAACTTGAGCGTATATTGTGTAGGTGTATCATTAAGGTAGATTTGTGCTTACCACTAACTAATCCTAGCAGTTTGTAATGTATATGATGGTTACTTAAAAACACTCAGCAACTTAAAAACCCATAAAAGTACAATAATTGTAATTGTAATCATATAAATGATATTTATTATCACAAGTTAAATTTAATATTGTTAAAAAATAAAAAAAATCTACCTGAAACAATTATAATCATCCGTAGAAAGATGTGAAAACATTTAATCGTCATGGCTGTGAATCCTATCTCGGCTTTAAAAAGAAAGAAAAAGTCAGTTAACATCGGGAAATGAATATAATGAAAAAAGGCAATTACATTGATTACATTTATTTTCCATATACCCTAAAGTGGGGAGGTGTAAGAAAGCGAAAACTTACATAATCTCATTACATTTTTGTGCACGACTACACTACTCTCTGTAAAAATCTGTGTAAGAGATTATAGTATAATTTTATAAAAACTCGGCCCGAGTGCATTTGTATTGATCTCCCTCTTAGTGTAAATATGTTATAAAAGTTTAAGGGAGATCACTCACGCTATATTTTTAATGCTGTAATCGGACATGATTTGTTGATTGTTTTAACCAGTGGCGTAGCGAGGGGGGTGGGGTTGGCGGGAGGTGCGGACCGCACCGGGTGACACCATTTAGGGGGGTGACAACAAGTCAAAAAATAGCAAAATATATAGAGAAAAATGATAATTCCACTGAATTAAGTGATTAATTCGAGTGTTAAATAGTGTTTTAAGAGCAAATTTGACAAATCCCGACAAGGGTGGAGGGGGGGGGGGTGCAAATCGAAAGTTGGGAAGTGTCGCTACGCCTCTGGGGGTGACACCAGTAAGTGCCGCACCGGGTGACACCCGACCTCGCTACGCCACTGGTTCTTACTATGCACCAACACCAAATTTGAAAGCAAGACAATCTGAGGGAGGTATCATTATACATTTTAAAAATTATCCTCTACATAGGACCAGGTGTAGGAGTTTTGACAGGATGAAGGTTAGGGTTAGACGGAGGTTGGGTGTGAGCATAAAGGTGGTTGTGGGGATGGGGCAATTATTTTTTTTAAATGCCGACTTTTAAAAGATTTCTGTTCTTTTGAATCTTTTAATAAATCCCAAGAGGAAGAGGAAAGTAGGGCGGCCAGGGAAATCCTGGAGGAGTACAGTAGAAGATGAGGCAAGGGCTGCCGGGGTTACGTGGGCGCTAATAAAGAAAACCGCCCAAAACCCAGTCCGGTGGAGAGGTGTGGCTGTAGCCCTTGACTCTATAGGGGCCACAAAGGAATGCCAAGTCAAAAACTTTTTAAAAGCTTGCGTTAGGTTGATCTGACCTACACTGTTTACCTTTAAGCCACTGAACAGGAGACGATCCCTAGGGCCACAAAGACATAAGTCAAGTCAAGTTCTTGTAACAAGCGTGCGTTAGGTTGATCTGACCTACACTGTTTACCTTTAAGCCACTGAACACCAGAACACACATGAAAAAACAGGGTACAAGTTCGTTTCAAATCCATTCAACCGAATCACGTGGCTATGCTACTTACAGCTGTACTGCAGGTGGGTGGGTGGGTTTCCGGCACTGTGTACCTGATCGGTTTACACAACTTCTGTATGTAAAGTTAATTATAACAACTGACGTTACAACTACGTAGTTTCTGTAGGCTATTGTTTGATGGGGGAGCGTAGGGGGAGGGTTGGGGCAGTTATATTGCTAATAAACCATCTCCGATCTTTGAAATATATAAACTTTTACGACCGACCTCTCTTCCAACAAACATGTTTGTAGGCAAAGTTCAGCCATTATTTTGTTTGTCCTCTTATCTTTCACACAAAATACCCTCGTGTCTAACCGTTACCAACTAATCCCTTAACAATCATTCACTCCAGCCTTTATACCCGCGTCGACCTTGCGATAACGATAAATAATCACACATTAACTACACACTAGGGTAAACTCAACGCACACACTAACTCTACCCTAAGTTCTAGACTATTCTAGCCTATTTCTATCTAACCTACAACTGACCCGTAACATAACATTTGTATCGGGATAAAGTTAATTACCTAAATAGTAATTGACTAAATTATGATTAGAAGAATAAAAAAATAGTTATTTGCTTTTGTCATTGATAGTATTTATTTGAATATTTGTTCAGATTTTCAATGTTTACAATTATTAGAATGATTTGTGGTTATATATAGCCATGCTATATTTTCCATGTCATGTGATGCATTACAGGTTTTCCCAACAAGTAATAGCTAAATTTATAACTTAGTTTCTACTTCCCTCTATCTGTCTTTACGTATTAAAATGTAACGCTCATTTCATATAAAAATACAAAAATAATTATTTAATAAAATAACCGTATACGAATATTAAAATCAAGCCAGTTATTTTTTCAAGAAAATATGTTATCAGATAATATTCTTGTCTCTTCAAGTCAACAAGAGCACTTTAATAATCAACGAAGCACTTCAGTCTAAAATAATCTAGGCTGAAGCACTACATAGTGCGATTAACTACAAACAAAGTATAGTTGTCTTCTAATAAATAATCCTCAATTATATGAACACAGGTACCCACACACTGAAAAACATGTTGACAAAACACACTGAAAAAAACAAAACAACCTTCTTACCTGGTACAAACATTCAGAAAGTGTGGGTCACATGATAGGATTTCTCCATTCTATTTTTATCTTATCTTCATTGCCCATCAGACTTCCTGGTTATAGCTGCTTTTTCTTTATTCTTTATTTTTTAAATTACAAATGCACATTCTATTTGTACCACATCTAATCGTTATTTTACAAGCATAATCGTAATCAGTGTTTCTTCCAGACTTTTTTCTCCGGGTGGGGGGGGGGGGGGACTTGAAATTTTCGGGGAGGCGGTAGTCTTTTTTGGAGGCGCGGACACTGTTTAAAGTATATATTTTTTTTATAAATTTCATTTCGTTCAGGGGGGGGGGGGGGGGGGGAGACGGGCGGGGGTTAGACTTTCTTCGCGGTGGGGGTTGGATAATGCCCGGAAGAACCTCTGATCGTAATATTTTATTGCATACTTGAACACCTACCTTAGCACAAAGCCACTCCAATAACCGTAACGAAAAACCACAGCATTTAAAAAATATAATGCCACTGTTTGAATACACACGAGGTAGTTAAAAAAAAGGTTAATTGTAATCGCCTCGCCTTAATGGTAAATTAAAACATAGATTCGTACCTCACAGTCAAACACCATGTATCTCTAAGTGCAGCTCTTAAGTAAACTCAATGACACATACCTGATAAAGCTCTGTAGTTAGAGGAGTCAGAGGCCTCGTGAGGCGGGGGTGGGGGTGCGGACCACACCGGGTGACACCATTAAGGGGGTGACACCAAGACCAAAAAATTGCTAGATATATAGAATACATATGTTTTTTACCAGTTCAATGAATGATTTAGCTACACATTATTTAATGTACATAATGACGATTCCTTCAAGAGAGAAAGGAGGGTGGTGGTGACACCATGACGTAAACATGCAAACTATAGAGAAAACGATGCTACATCCAGCTGTATTAACACCTGACGATGGATAAACATCGTTAGTATTAAATAAAAAAACCTTTAAAGCTTTTAACTGGGGGGGGGGGGGTTGGGAGGGATGGTGGGGGGTTGACACCAACCGCAAAATTTACAGAGACAAAAAAGGAGAGGGTGACACCGTGCGATGCCGCACCGGATGACACCCAACCTAGCGACGCCACTGAGAGGAGTACCTTAATATGGTCAGCATGATAGAAACAAATACTTCCAGCTTGGAAACACTTCTCTAGTTTAATCCGTTTATGTCAAACCTTGTAGTTAATTGTTTATATATAAATATTAACTTTTATAAGCTTTTAATTTATTCACAATGTATGTGTCTTAGTTTGTTGTGTGTGGGGGATGTGGTACATTTTGTAACTCAATTTTAATTTTCTAACTGATTTAAGGAGCAACCTGACACGACGGCACAAGACATTTGATGATTAAACCGAGCCAGAGGCAGTACGCGTCTCTCCTGCGGTATTGTAATCGGGTGCTCACGTCCCGACACTTAATGGCTGAGTGACTAAGGGTGATATTACGGTGAGTGATTAACGTGCATTCAAGGCTTTCATACAGCACGTCCCATGGCGAGCTAGGCGGCAATGGAGATAAAACTAGGACCCGCTAAATAACTCAATTTCAGAAAACAAGATCATACCTCTAAAAATATAGGATTGGTAACGTATTGATGAAACCTTCTTAAAATATTTCGTCAGACTTTATTCTAGCCCCGCGACAACGCACGGGAACGGGCACGCTAGTAAAAAATAAAAGTTGGATGCAGTTAGACACCGTTCATCCGAGTACTATGAAACTTTGGTGAGCAGATGATAATACTTCCGAGAAGATTTCTGTGAAAAAAATTGTTATAGGCGGCGCCGGGAGGTTGCGATTTTCGTCAATACACGGTTTGGCGCCAGAGTTCCAGAGCGGCAATGGTAATCTGTTAATCGGGCGTCCTGCATATCGGGTAAGGGGTACTTCTAAATTTATCGGTATAACTGCAACAGGCGCAACCGCCGATAAGATGGGGTGTTATTGTCATTCACTAAATTTAATCATGCGGGTTCGCCGGCGCCACGGCAGCGTGCTATTAGTCGTCTTGGGTTATCCAGTGAGCACAATGGCGACTACGTTAGTTTTAAGGAGCCCGGAGCCGTATGCAGCGCCCCTGTGGTAGTGTAATCGGGTGGCTCTACGTACCTGACACATGGGCGGTCACCGAAGTGTGTTATATACCTCACTATTACGGTTTGTGATGAACGTACACTCAAGGTTTTCATGCGGTAGTGTAGTTAAACCCATGTCCCGATAAATCTGATCCAAGCGCAGGCATTGTTTACATTAAGTTTACATTTTAGTTTTAGTAAACGAGTTCACACGTCTAATAATATAAGGTTAGTAAAGCAATGATGAAACCATCCAAAAATAATGCGTCATACTTTCCACTATCTAACTTTCCGCTAATTAGTCATTAAAATTGAATTGGCGTTAAGAAGTGGCAGATGTCTGTCTTTTAAACATTTCGAGCTATTGATGGGGTATTAAAGCAAATGGTTTAAGTCGTATATTGTGTTGATTATATTTAGAACGAATAATCAATACTAGAAAACAAATATCTAAAAAGATAACTTTATAATAATAGGCTTTAAGCACTTAAAACCCCTCCATCTAAAACGCTTTCTATAATAAAAGCGTTGGTCGCTCATGAGATCTATTATATATTTAGTGATCAAATGTTTTATTAAAGAAATCACATTTTTAATTTTTAAAAATGTATATTTTAAGTTGCATTTAAAGGCTTATTTTTCATACATTTTCTATATTTGTTTTTTTTAATTTGGTCTATTCCGATTCTGGGTGAGTTATCGGACTTTTACATCCAAAATATGTTATTGAGTTTGTCATTTATAATCTCAATCTCCTTTGTCATCAAACAATCTCTGCGTACCTTTTATTTGTATTTGTCGTTGGTAAACATGATTTTAGTGTAAAGTGTAAAGAAAAGGAAATAAAAATTGAAATGTGAAATTTCGTAAAAAAGAGAGTGGTATAATACATATATACGAGCCGACCAGCAATGTATCATGCGTCGCTATTTAGTTGTTTTTTCTATATATATATATATATATATATATATATATATATATATATATATATATATATATATATATATATATATATATATATATATATATATATATATATAAATTAATAAGAAATATTTTGGAACCGTGGTTTTTTTTTTCACGAGTTGAAGATTTATTTACAAAAAACCTATCTTTCTTTTACTAAATTATTTATGGACATCTTTCTCTTTATACACATACAAACATTCAGCAATATATTTCTATGAAACATTTTGCTGCATTTAATTTATAGAAGTCGTCTTATTATTTTCCTATTATTTGTATTTCCTAATGAATAACATCTTTCTGGAAACTACAACTTGACCATACCATTTCACCTAGCAACAAAATCTCTCTAGAAAACTGCAACGACAATAATGTATCTTCTAGTGACAATATCTCCAAAAAATCAACAACTTGATCATAACTTTATCTCTATCTCCGGGTACACCATCTCTATAAAAAACTACCAGTTGACCATAACCATATCACCTAGCAACACCATCTCTCTAGAAAACTACAACGCCGACGACGACTCAGCATGATGGTCAATGTTGCGGTGTGAACCTGCTATATTCAACACTAGTAGTGAGAGAAGGAAGGAAATCATAACCTGTCGCTACTAACGTTATTGAACGTATGGTTCCACTTGACTTAGTAAGCGAGGGAAAATTCTAAGTATAACGTTATAGTTATGTATATCACATTTCCATATTACGTAGAAAGCAACGAAAATAACTGGATATAAAGTTATATATATGTTATACATATGTTTATCATAATTCCATGTTTCGTACTGAAAGTAGATAGTCACTAAAAATAAATAAAAAAAAAACAATAGTGCATTAAATTTTAGAAAATAACTGACTGTCTTTAAATATGTATCAATGAACCAATATTTAAATAACAAAAAAAGAGTAGCGTTGATCGCTTCATAAATCAATTTTAAGAAAGGTAGTTAATACACATTATAGGCACACCCAATTTTTTTAATACAGTAGAATTGCAGGACTAAAAACAATTGCTCAACGAATGAACACAAACAATGTGCTCATATTAGCCCGAAAATGAGTCCTTCATATTAATTGATTCTTTAAAAGTTAATTACACTTAAAATTAAGCCAAATTTTATGTCACATTGTATTGTCTTCCAAATTTGACCCACTTGCCAAGTTTAAAGATATTCGGTCCGGAAGAAATAGTCTAAATTTCGCTCTACTTTGTTGAGCCATGACGGACTACAGACAAAAAGCATGAGGCCGCAAGTTAAATAAAAGCCTTTTAAAAACTTGTTCCACACAGTTGTCTGTCCCCTGTGTTCTCATAGTTCCATACTACTTAGGAATTCTAGGCAGAGACCTGGAATAACTATGATGAAAATCAATCGGGGCCAGGTACCCAACATCATCCATCGATCTACTCATCCTCTTGTGTAGCACCGTCATGGGAGGCAGCCTCCTCTGTCGGTCGTACAGACACTCCTCGCTGTCGAAGTAATCAGTGCCTAAGTTCCTGTAGCTGTCGTCTTTGGCCATTCGCTTCCTCATAGACACATGTTGAACCTGTGTAGTGTGTCGTGGCGGTGTGTCGTCAATAGACTCGTAGATGTGTAGACTCTCGCGTTCTTGTCTGACGGGACGTGATGAAGGGAGAAACAAGACGGAGTACCTAGAGCCGCTGATAGGAAGAAAAATCAACTGTCAATTAAATTGGGGGACGGCGTGGCCTAGCGGTAGAGAGCTACACTGCTAACCCGAGAGTCTCGAGTTCGAATTCGAGTTCGAGTTCGAATCTGGGTTCAAATCAGTGGAACGTCCCTAAGTCCACCCAGCTCTGATGGGTACCCAAATTACGTTAGGGAAACAAAGGCGGCTGGGCATAGTGCTGACAACACTATTCCCTCATATTCCGAGGTCAATGAATCCGATGAACTCAACCTCATCTGTCCCATGTATCTTGGGCACGAACGGGATTAAGAAGAAAAATAATTTAATTGGTAAATATGTCAATAAAGAACACAAAGTTAAATAGTTCTGAAAAGTTCCGCTATTTCCAATGATCTTAAAATCGTCTAGTAATTTATATCTGGATTATTTATTGACTGTAATTTTTTCAGGGATAGTGAGAGTGTTATATTACGATTACAATCAAGCCCTCCTCCTTACGTTAGTTTTAGAGTTATAGAGATACCCTTAAATTTTTCTTCGATACTAGATTTCCAGACGTTCAATATTTTCTTTACACAATGTAAGAAAACTAAAAGGTGACAACAGTAAATATTTATTAATTATTTTAGAAATTAAGAACTTACTTTGCACTAATTTTTCGACAGGTTTGTTTAACTGTTGAAATAAAAAAAAGTAGCTTTGTGATTGTAGTAAAGCTAACAAGGAGGTCTGAAAAGTATTTGGATTAAAACAAAGGAAAATAAATTAGCCTACACGTACCCTGAACACAGTAGACCAACAAACTAACCACGGAGATGGGTACTAGTAGCGCGGTGGCGGCTATGATCAAATGAAATGTCGCCAACGTAACTGCATCAAAAGAGAAAAAAAAATAGAAAAAAAAAGTATGCAACAAAGTGAAAGATTATTAAATGAAATGATTATTAAATGAAATTTGATGACTAATTTAAGTAAAAATAAAATAAACTTTCTGTTTATTATTTAAACAAACATATATCACGATGAATCGTTTATAAGTAATTCTATTTTCGTGTTGTTTTTTTTTATAATTTGGAAGTTGGAAACAAGTAGGTTCGCAACTTGTTGGTTCTGAAGAAATTTACTAATCCAATTCGTCTGTTATTCAGATCGATTATCCACTGATCGGAAATAAACACATACATACATGTTAAATTAATGCCCACTATGTTGGATGGCGTAATCGACTGGTAGAACGCTGAACTGCTAACCCGAAAGTCTAGAGTTCAGATCCAAGTAATCGAGTCTGCAGGACGTCCCTGAGTCCACACAGCTCTACCGTTAGGAAAACAAACACTGCTAGGCATAGTGCTGACGACACTATCCCTTCGATGCGTTGATTGAAACATATTAATTCTATTTCATCTCCCCATGTTCTCTTGGATAAGAAACGAGAAAAAGAAATGAAGGAAATGTTCTTAGACTTACAAGATGTTTTCTGTGGAGTATTTGTCAAAGTTTCTTCGTAGCTCACTGTGTAGTTTGTGTCTTCCGTGTAGTTAAAACTTCTTGCATTGTTTCCCTCTGTGCTTGTATCTCTCCACTTTTGTATGTTGACACGCAGGTTTTTTTCACTGACCCCACACACATCAAAGCCTAACTCTAGGGTAACGTTGTCATGGTTACTGATGGCCCCAAGGGTAGTGTTGACACAGGGTGTATGGGCCATTTCGAGCTGCCCGTAATTTATCCTAGCCCTGCACGGGAGTGGGGTAACCCCACAACAGACTCTCAGATCGTCCAGTGGTGTGGTCAGTTCGAGATCGTCTTGTAGTGTTGAAACAGGCCTTCCATTGATGGTGTAATTTATACTGGATGTGTCTGTTGACGTTCAAATGTTAGAATAAAATCTGATTTTTTTTCAATGTATAGAGTATGACGTGGCGTCACTAAGTCGGGCGTCACCTTGTACGGCGCTGAGGGTGTAACTCCACCCCCTTCAACAATGTTTAATTTTTTGTTTGGGGTCGCCCCTCTCTGCTATTTGATTTTTTAAATTGGATAAATATTGCTTGTACATCACTTTTTTAAATTAGGTGTCACCCCCTCCCTAAACGGTGTCACCCAATGCGGATCGTACCCCTTGCCCGGCCTTGTAATGCTAATACGTATGACTGGTCTGACTAAAGTGCAAAATCTTTTTAAAATACGGGCTCTAAATAGAACTGGAATAATTTAAAGATAGTCTTTAAATAATGATTCAGTTGTTTACACTGTTTTGACTTAAACATAAAAAAGAACATTGCGTTTTTTGTTTAAATACAAAATTCTTCCACCGCTAACTATTATAATTACTTAATTCTCCATATGATGTTAAAGATTTCCCGCGAAAAAATCGATTTAAAAATCATAATGTTAACAGTAATTTGATCATCATCTTTATAATGGGTCTAAAGTTTAAGCATTATCTTACTCCTATCACTACACCTTGTACCAACTGTAACAGACATTAGTCCTATCACTACACCAACTGTAACAGCCATTAGTCCTATCACTACACCTTGTACCAACTGTAACAGCCATTAGTCCTATCACTACACCTTGTACCAACTGTACCAGCCATTAGCCCTATCACTACACCTTGTACCAACTGTAACAGCCATTAGTCCTATCACTACACCAACTGTAACAGCCATTAGTCCTATCACTACACCAACTGTAACAGCCATTAGTCCTATCACTGCACCTTGTACTTATTGTAACAGACATGCCTACAAAACAATTTGACGCTATAACGCATTTCCTTGCCCCCAACACAATTCAGATTTATTTGTCAAAATGTTAGTGCCCGTTGACTCCGACTTCAACCTGTTTTTCTTTCTGAATTAGCGTCCACAGCTTTTGTCCACCTAAGAATAAACTGCAAGGCAGAAATTATTCAATTTGGGAATGTGTGTAGTTTAATTACCGAAAATTTTAGGGAAAGTCTGAACTTGACTGAAAATTGACGATGTACCGCCGACCAGTACACCCTGGATCTGTGCCTCGCTGTATTGGATGTCTGCGGTAAGGTTGACCACAATATGATGCGTGCCATTGCTGTCCGTGTCGGCATGGTAACATCTGTCTTTTGTGGAGTGGTCATTGTCGTTTGACAGACTTACATTGCAAAACTTAAAAATAAAAGTTTTCATAAAAAACATCTTTTATAAGCCTTTCAATTTGAAAAGTAAACAATTTGTTCGATAAATAATAGTCGTAGTACTTTCATTTATAATTGAACTTTTAATACAAAGTAACGATAAATAATAGTTGTAGTACTTTCATTTATAATTGAACTTTTAATAAAATTCGAAGACACACATGATTAAAAACAGATTTAATGAATGGAAACTAAAGTATACTGTAATAATATAAAGCTATTTAAAAAATCGGATATATGAAAGAGGTTAACCGAATTTTTATTTGACTTCATTATCCGATCCAAAAGTAGAATATTAAAAATATTTCGTTTCTTACATCTAAAAATAGCTTCTCCCCATTTCTCTTTACAATAAATTTGACCCTCCAAGATTTGTGGGTCAGATACGCCCTGGCTTTGAACACCAACTTGTCTACATCGTGTCTTAACCCTTCTTTACAAACGGGCTGAGCGTCTTCTGGCTCGTAACTGTTGAGGATTATCTCTGGGCTTTCCGTGATAGCTATGGAAAGTATAGACAGGGCAAGCTAAAAGAATATTGCATTATTAAAGTATAAAGAGTAAGCTAAAACTACTGAAATCATACAATTACAGTTAGACTCAACACTATCCGGCTTTATTTAAATCACTAGCGTACACTTCGTGCGCGTTGCTGCGATCTCTGATTAAAAGAAATTAAAGGAAACATGTTATTGTAACATTCGATTGTTATCAATGATGCAATTTTTAGACGCGTGACCTAATTTTTTTCTATTATATATATATATATATATATATATATATATATATATATATATATATATATGTAATTTAAAATATATATGATTTTTAAAACAATAAATGAACGAGACTTCTAAGAGGTGAACGCACGCACATACACCCCCCCAAACACACACATACTCACACACACAGGCGCGCTCGCACACACGCCCTCATGCACGCACCCACACACACACGCACACATTTAAAAATTACCATGACTTCTGAACTGTAACGTGAGTTCCCCTTCTCTAACATTACAGACGTTATATTTTATAGTTAGCCTGATATCCTCCGTATATCTTGTCTGCGTGACGTTGAAGGAAACACACGTGTCCCCAGTCGACACATCGCCGTGTTGGGTCACCAGTTCTACAACACACGGGGACGGGGAGTCAAGACAGCAGATCTGATTCTCTCCCTTGTAGTCGTTCATCTCATAGACTACAGTCAGACTGGGCAGAAGTTTTCCATTGAGGTGAAGTTTGATGTTAGACGTGTCTCATTGGAAGAGGAAATAAATTAAAGAATAGGCCTACTTTTTAAAATGTTATTTTAATGTATGCTTTTTAAATAAACTGCCCTGTCGATTTTTTTGTAATAGTTAAGAGTTTTACAATGTAGTATTACATTTTAGGGTTAGATATTTGTAAAGGTTAACACAGTTAAACGCCGAGTACAGTGGATGGTAATGTCCGGACTGATAATCTCTAGGCGTAAGCAAAGTTGACATAAATAAATTTGACATAAATAAATTTGACATAAACAAACTGGGCATAAACAAACTTGACATAAACAAACTTGACATAAACACACTGGGCATAAACAAACTTGACATAAACAAACTTGTCAATAAGCTTGACAAGACCATTGAACATTAAACTCCAGAAAGAAATGCAAGCTGAGGTCGAATTGAACTCTTCGTATTGCGAATAAAATGTTTACAAATAATACTTCATTATGCTGGACACAATCGTCTATATTGCACTTCAGGGGAGCCTTGCGCGCAATTGAAAGGTATTTTAAAAAACCTGCAAACTTACTATACATTTTAGGCAACCTTTGGGGTTCACTGAACTGAGATTGATAAGAGCCTCGAACCCACGCCTCGCTGTGCCCTGGTTTCGCTGCCACTTTGATAACCACGTGACTGATGTTGTTGTCGTCGATGTAGTCGCAGTAGCAAAAGAGGCTTTTGGGCCCGTCACACAAAGTATTCACAAGGCAAAGCTGATGTGTTTGAAGGGAAAATAGTTAGTATACTGTTAACTGGAGTGTGACAGTGTGGTCGGGTGGTAGAGCACTCAACTGCTAACCCAAAAGTCTAGAGTTCGGATCTTGGTTCATACTTGAGTCTGCAAGACGGCCATGAATCCACCCACCTCTGATAAGCATTTGATCTACATGAGGGTAGGTAAAAACAGCTCGGCCTAGTGTTGACCACAGCTTTTCTTCATATGCAGAAGTAAAAAAATATTTGAACTCTACATCATATGCCCTAATAATTGTTAGGATGAACGTTTACTGGTGAGGATACAGCTGATGTTGATTTATTTTAAAGTTATCCAACTTTATTCACACCAGACATGCAACTATATAACTCTACAGCACGCTAAATCTTCATTCTTTGTAAGAATTCGTATTTCCAAAATGTTCTAATGGAGACGTATAGTTTTAAAATACTTTACAGTTATGTAATCAGGTGATAAAAGTAAGCGATTTATACATGTATGCTACACAGCTGATGACAATATTTTATGCTAAAGTTGTGATTGTTTCTATCTTGTGGATAAAGAGGTTATCTGTTCGATGGACCCACTATAACACTTAGAAATGGAGGTTTTGTGAGCTAATAAAAAGTCTATAATTTACTCGGCTATCTTTATATTAAACATTTAAACTTTTAGAAAACATAACAAATGCATCAAAAGATTATTTTTGTAATAAAAAATTCAATTTAAATTAGGCCGCACGACTGGTAGAAGTTCAAAAGTAATGTAACATTAGATGAAAAAAATGTTCAAATAAAGCTGTACGGAATTTCATAACATATAGTCCATGTAGTTTCAATGTTCGAGATTTAATAAATCATTGCCTTACGTGTATGTATGTGTCCCCATCCATAGAGTAGTTAAACTGAATAGTTGTTGAGTTTGTTTTAAGATTTGTTGGATTCGCTTGTGCTCTTAGAATCGCTGTATCCTTGCCGATTCTCAGCCCTTCCCTGCATGTTGTGATACTGTCTAGCTGATTATATCTGGCTATAGTCAGGTTTCCTTGGACAAAAGCTGCATACAAATTACATCTTTCAGTGCATTCCATGCGTATCAGAACACATTATATCTTCATCACAGATAATTTTATGATTCCTTTTTTTAAAATTTACCTAGTGTTTTTCAACACTTTATAAATAACTCACCTAGATAAAGCTATGCTTTTAAAGTATTGAAACGTTTAAAAAGGAAAATAAATGTCATTTTCAGATTGCTGCAATTATCTTTTATTACAATAAATTTTACTGTTTAAAAAAATCTACATTTAACAAATGCCATTTAGACATTTTTAAAACAGTATATAAAAAGAATACGATTTAAAGTAGTATACAAAATAATTTTCGTTTTATCAACACAAGTGTTCACTTGCATTTTACTGCCAAACTCTTAAAGTAATCTTTAGTAAAGGTTTACAGCATAAACAATTGTTAAGTGATGTACCAATAAGATGAGAATATCAAAATCATTGTGTAAGTATGCTTACATCTTTGTAAATATTTAAATATTATAATCGTCGCATAGCAAATTTTAAGTAATATTTTAAAAACTAAACTTACATGCAAAAATGTTAAGAAGAAAGATGCAATGGAGATGCATTGGCAACATGTCTGTTACGTTTTAAAGATATGTTACATACATTCCTAAGAAGATAATTTCTTTATATTTCCCTGTCTAGTGAAAAAAAATGAATTAACTGTTTTAAAGGAAATGTAACGTTTGATTCCTTGTAAACAGTTTATCATGACTCATGTAAAATATTTATTACCGAAACAATTCTCCACTTACGAAATCAAATAAAAGACACATTCTGTTTTTGAAAGTTTCGATCACGTTAACACTTAAAAAAAAGTATAACGACGAACCGTGTCATGAGAAAGTAAAGGATAACTCAAACAAACGATGGCCAAAGGTCAGGTGAAATAACTTTTTACAGCATCCATTCTCTTTACGTTTAGATAAACCTAAACTAGGTAGCTGTTTTCCAGCATGTTTTTTTTTCGTACACCTAATTTTTTGTAAACTAATTTACATAATTATCGATAGGTTAAAATATCTATTTTGGTCTTGACTAATAAACTGTATTGTAATGATTTAAATACTGTATATGCAAAAATTGCTTCGTTTATAATAACTTCTTATTTAAGTGGGTTCTAAGATCACAATTCTAAAGTTTTATTAAGAGGCTCAATAAGTCGTCTTTTTAAAATTGTTAAAAAATTGTTAACATATGTAAGAATATAAACATAAAAATTACCATTATAAAATTACAGACTCTGCTGTTTAATTAGTAATTAGACTTTGTTGTTAAATACGTTAGCGTTGGCCATGTATTAATACCTTCAAATTTATTACAAAAAATTAAACGTAAAGCATACACAATTAAAACAATTATAACAATTATAATTTTTTATAACTTTTAGAGTTATTTTATTTCCCTTTTCAAGATGTCAATTAATTTCCAAACAAGAAATGATTCATCGCACTTGAAAGAAAATCAACAACAGCTAAGTGACACTCAGATCCTCCCAGTGTAGTTTGAAGTGTTTCTTTTGATAAAGTGACGTAATTTAAAGGCGTTAGATTTGTTTAAAATTAAAATCTGCCCTTATGTAAATCAATTTAAATAAGAAGAACATCTTTTATTAACTCATGTTTTTAAAATACCTGTTAATGTCTTGAGACTTATTACCTAGTCCTGTTGAAATAGTAGTTTACTTTAAAAAAATGTTTTACTGCTATGTTGCAAAAAAAAAATGAATACCAAAAAGATTTATAATTGCAAGCAAAAGAGATGTATAGCACATTTTCTTCAACAATTTGTAATATTGAGTAAAAATAAATATTTGGTGATTTCACAATTTAAAACAACATTATAATTTTCATAATACATATTTTAATATTTTCTGTATATTCCAGTAATTAAAGTAATAGCTTACAAAGGTATACACTTAAACATTACGTAATTTAATGCTTATGAAATTACCTTAAGGGGAGATATTTTATGTGCGATATGTCGATTTTCTTATCCTTAGAAATTATATTGTCAATGACCTTCCACGCAAAAGTTTGTTCCAATCTCGCTATTCGAGGAGAAATTACTTTTTGTAAGTACACACTTTCCAGTTCCTCAAATATTGCTTCAATATCTTTAATCTCCTCTAATTTAGATGCTTGATTTTGCATTTCGAAAATCGTCAAAATAACTTTAGAATCTTTTTTAATTTCAGTATTTTCGTTTCTACACTTTTCACATAATGTTTTTAAAACTTGAACACACTGTTCTTTAAAGCTTTGATTCATTAATGTTCCTGCCTCTGTCTCTTTACACGCTTGCAGTAATAGTGATGCAATCTTTAGCATATTCTCTAATATTGATTCAGACTTAAGTTTACCTAAATCGTAAATCATTTGAAAGCTTTGACAGACAAAACGATAATGCCATAAGTCAGTTAGTGCAAATATTCCACTTACTAAGTCGTTTTCAGGCAAGTTTTCTAGAATTCTACCTTTGTAAGTATCATTAAAAGTTGAATACTTTCTGTTCTTTGACGTATTGGTTGCACTGTTAATAAAAATAACATGATTCATAACCTCTATACCTAAGAAAAATACAAGAACATCAATCAACTTTTCAATATCATTTGTATCCTGATTCTCATTCATTGCAAGCAGAATTGCATTAAATCCCTCGGGGAAAGCGACAAGGCAATGTTTTAGATCTGTGACAAACGGGTGGATTTGTTTTACATCTAGCTCTGGGCCATCAGCTAATTTAATCAACCGGTTGTCTAGCTTCGAGAATTCAAACTGCATTCTCAAGACATCTGACTTGGCATCTTTGATTTTCGTCTGTAGAATTAGGTTACTAATATTATGTTTTTTACCACCTTTTTTACCACTTTTAGTACCAAGAAGAAGAAATGTGGTTTTGATTTCAAACTGGCTCTCGTCTATGTCGAGTCTAAGAAAAAAAAAGGAAATAAAACTAAACAATGGAACTAAGGTGAACTGCATGGAAAAATATAAAAAAAAACTTATCCTAAACGGCTTACTCTGGTTCTTTAACTGTTTCTGTTGCAAAATCTATACAAACTTGAGATTCTGTAAAATAAAGAACGTGTTGATAGAAAAAAGGTTTACCAATTACGACAGTATACAATTAGCATTACTTTTTGAATAAATTTTGAGTAAATCATTTAGTGTTATATATGGAAAGGAGAAAACTTTATTTCAAAACGTAAGAATGATGAAATAACCATGCAAATATTAATCATATTTTTCCTTGCATACCATTGTTTTCCTGTTGTGTATCTCTGCAAAAATTAAATATGCACAGTTATCAATGAACTAATTTGATTAAGTAATGATATAAATGATTACTGGCATTTATTTATAAGTCTTTGAATTACATATAACAAATAGTACAGTACAGAAGGATTTATGATTTTTAAAAATTACCTATAAAAACATGGTTAACTAGTTTTAAAGACTTGTCCTTTATTATTTAAAATTTGGTACTCTAGATGGAAAATCATTAATTTACAAACATTTTGAGAACTGTATAAATTTGTAATATATGCGCTATGTCAATTTATGTCATATTTGAAAGTAGCAGTAATACCTAAGTGGAGTTTCGTCATGCGAATTTCCTGACATTGTTTTTGTTTTCCGGGTAAATCGGAAACATTTTCCAAAATGTATCCTACCTGTAACATAAATAGTTAAAATAAAGATAAATATCTTATCTCTTATTCTGCAGAACACAGCTAATATTTTATAATTCATCATAAATCTTCCCACAAAGTCAATTAAAAAACATTAATGCCATGTAAAACTGAATTAGAAATATATATATATATATATAAATATATATATATATATATATATATATATATATATATATATATATATATAAAGGTACTTACATTGTTTTGGAGTGTAGAAAAACATTATCACAATAATTAAAATAAGAATTACAATCAGGACAATAAAAAAGTTCAGAACGCTTGAATCTTTATCTGTTAGAAAAAAGGTGTAATAATCGTAAAAGTATGCATACATATACTTACAATCTTAATTATGTATATATATATATATATATATATATATATATATATATATATATATATATATATATATATATATATATATATATATATATATATATATATATATATATATATACATATATAGTGTAAAATAATTAGCACACCTATTAATTAATTAACTTGTAATCATAGATTAATCTAAATTAAAAATAAAATGAATCATCAAACCTACCATTTTTACGATCAGCAGTCTGAACGCGACACGACAACAGCTTTGACTCTGAAGTAATTACAAATATTACAACAACAACAGAACATCCAAATTACACATTATTCTAAAGCTAAATAACAACAAAGTTTTGATGGATTTTAAAATTCATTTCTTAATATATATATATATATATATATATATATATATATATATATATATATATATACATATATATATATATATATATATATATATATATATATATATATATATATATATATATATATATATATATATATATATATATATATATATACTCGCATATAGATAGAAAAGCCTTTACCTACGTAAATATTGGCCCTTCGATTATATATCTCAGCGTCCGTTTCCGACGTATATGTGTAAACATTAGTATTCTGCTTTACTAACGAGTTGTTTAAATACCAATCAAATTTCGATACACCATCTGTAGCATCTATCCTTTTACAACTGCATTTTACCACGTTTGCTTCGTTCTCGCAGTCTTGTTGGACAACATACTTTGGTTCTTTAAATTTTAGTTTTGTGAGTTAAAAGACCAAACGATTACACTGACGTTATCTTATACATTTTAAATTATTTAAGTTAGAAATAGTTTATTAAATAGTTTAATAAATATGCATGTTGTATTCCATTTTTTTTAAATGTTCAAGAAATAATAATAATTTAATGTTTTATAATAATTTTATTGAAAAAAAACGGCAACATGAAATAAAATGAAGGTCTAATCTATATCACAAAAAATAATATTTACCGATATTCAACATGACGACTTTAATAGCCAATGCATTTTCAATGTTATTAAAACCACTGTTATTAGGGTATATGCTGATGTTAAAGTTGTTTTGTTCTAAGTGTAAATTTTCTCTTGGGATAATGACTATACAGGCAGCTTTATAATAGACAGGATTTTCTGAGATTTTATAGTTTTCACAAGGTGTGACTTTAAGCCGGTGACCATTGCTATGAACTGCCATCTGTAAAATCAAAGTGAGAACTCATTCAAAAAATATATACATATATATATATATATATATATATATATATATATATATATATATATATATATATATATATATATATATATATATATATATATATATATATATATATATATATATATATATATATATATTAATGTTGAATGTCTCTCTCTCTCTATATATATATATATATGTATATATATATATATGTATTTATATATATATAGAGAGAGAATATATATATATATATATATATATATATATATATATATATATATAGAGAGAGAGAGAGAGAGAGAGAGAGAGAGAGAATATATACATATATACATATAAATATATATAAATATATATATATATATATATATATATATATATATATATATATATATATATATATATATATATATATATATATATATATACGTATATAAGTATGCATATTAAGTATATAGTATATATATTTTCAATTGCAAAGTGTACATCATTTAAACTTATTAAATAATGAACCATTATAGTATATCTTGAATTGGACTTGTGTTGATTTCACTAAACTATGCCAGGCTACGATTCTAAAGAAGACGATAACACGTTACGATCCCCGGACTGGGTGTGTGTTACAGTATACATAGACGCATTCATATAACCACGACCCCCCCCCTAACTCACGTATACTAATATATATATATATATACTAATATATATATATATATATATATATATATATATATATATATATATATATATATATATATATATATATATATATACATACAGAGAGAGAGAGAGAGCGCACGAGAGAGAGAGAGAGAGAGAGCTAATTGAAAATATTCACAAACCATAGCTTCAGGGAATATCCTACTTGTATTGCATGCAATGGTAAATCCTTCATTGCTTAAACTGGATACACACGCTACAGCAACCGCTTTGGCTGTAGTCAGTAATGTATATATATATATATATATATATATATATATATATATATATATATATATATATATATATATATATATAATGCAAACGACATTTAAAATAAAATAATAATTTTAGCTGTTTAAAATTTTTATTTTTATTTTGAAACGTTAAGGAAAAGGTTATAAGCTATGTCATATTTATACTAGAAGTGCTGTTAGCAATATGTCATGTAAAGAATTATAAGGTAACAATACCATAGGTTTTGAGATCACAGCTATACAAGTACTCCTCTGTAGATTCCAGGCTATGTGTTTTTAGCGCCCAGACGCCCTGTACATTTTTGGGCGTCTCCCGCGTCACGTTGAGGACATCCAAAACAAAATGGAGCAGATTTTCTCTTCGTGTCACCGTGGCGTGGAACCAGCTGATGTCGTTGTTGCTACAGTCTCCAGCCTCCACTGGACACTCGGACACCAGCTGACCATCTTTCAACCATAACAGCATTGTTCTGTGAGCTGGGATGGTTGTCAGCGTGTAGCTCAGCTTGTAGGGTTGTCCTTCTTCAGCGGGTTGGCAACCGTAATTTCCTATACATAATTTAAATTATAAGGTTGTAACATGAAATAAAACTACTTCTAGTATACCTAATTCTCTTACTGCAAATCCATTATTGTTATTTATTGGCGTACGATATTTTACTATCGTGAATATAGTGAATATACTGCTAATAAAATATACAGTAAGTAGATAGTAATGCTATTTGCTTAAAGTTTTATATTCCGTATAGATAAAATTAATAATTTGTTTGTGTTTGGTTGATGTACTAGCAATAATATTTATCATATTTAATAAAAAGGTTTAGTATTTCTGACGAGTCAAGTAGTATTTCATTAAAAAAAACAATACATTTTACACTATTTTCTTCAGTAATGATTATCCATGGCATTGCTAGTTGTACTACTGTTATCATCATCTTCAGTTTCTAACGCAGGGCAACATTGCATGTAAACTTCACGTTAGACCTAGCGATTCATAGGGCAGATAAAGTAGGGTTGTATGTTTCGTGATCTGGACATGCACAAGAAGGGACGATGTCTTCAGCATTATACAAAACCACCTTTACTTTCTCTAACGTGAGTCAGGTACCCATTAGAGCTGAGCGAACTCCGGGACGTCTTGCAGACTCAATACTTAGATGAGATCCAAATTTAGGGTTATGTTAAAACTCTAGACTTTCAAGTTAGGAGTTGAACGCTCTTCTACCCAAACTTTGCGTCCTTGGTTTCATCTAACCCGAATGTTAAGTCTTCTATAATTGTGGCGGTCTCAAGGAGTGGATTTATTTAAAAAAGCAAATTAACTCAGAACTACCTTCAGTGGCATGACTAAATATTAGAATTGCTAAAAATAGTTGCAGCATTCGCGTTTTGTATTGTTGATATTTCTGAAAATGATAAATAATAAAAACAAGTTATGAAATACTATTCGTTTGGAAGGGAAATACTCCAAAACAGGTGTAATAAATAAACTTTCATGAACATTATAAAGGCAGGCACCTGGGAATAAATTCACGTATGGTTGATGAAAGATCTACCCTTTTAAATATTGATACATCATATAGTTAAGAGTGTAAGTGATATAATATATTATACATAATGTTAGAGAGAAATTGATAATTTATTCCTCTTTAAACTCGATCCAATCCCACCCCCCCTATCTACAACAAACTAATGTCAAAAAATTACTTTTAAAAGTACAAAACTGAGGAAGACAAACTTTATGTACTCCCATTGTTAACCCCCCCCCCTCCCCGCTAGAATGTTACGTTACATATGGGAGACAATACATATTAATATACGGTACATTTAGAGGCAACACATGTTAATATACATTACATATGAGAGACAAAACATGTTAATAAACATTACATATGGGAGACAATACATATTAATATACGTTACATATGAGAGACAACACATGTTAATAAACGTTAAATATGGGAGACAACACATGTTAATATACGTTACATATGAGAGACAACACATGTTAATATACATTACATATGAGAGGCAACACATGTTAATATACGTTACATATGAGAGGCAACACATGTTAATATACGTTACATATGGGAGACAACACATGTTAATATACGTTACACAGAGGCGTAGCGAGGGGGGAGGGCGGGGGTGCGAACCGCACCGGTGACGCCATTTAGGGGGGTGACACCAAGGCAAAAAATAGCAAAATATATAGAGAAAAACTTGTGGGGGAGGGTGCAAATCGAAAGTTTGAGGGGGGTGCAAATCGAAAATTTGAGGGGGGGGGTGCAAATCGAAAGTTTGAGGAAGGTGAGGGGGGGGGTGCAAAACTTGAAAGTTTGTCCCCGGGAAGGGTCGCTACGCCTCTGGGGGTGACACCATTAAGTGCCGCACCGGGTAACACCCGACCTTGGTACGCCACTGACGTTACGTATGGGACACAACACATGTTAATAAAAAAAAAACACTGCTAGAAGGTTGACAAGATTACGAATTATCAGCGACACAATTGTGTTATGTGGTTTTAAAGTATTTGAATATTTCTGTATCTTGGCAATTCAAAATTAGATGCAGTAAATATATTAGAGGTGGACTAAAATTAAACTGTACGCACAATCACGTAAAAAACACTCACGCACGCAACCACGCACATACATTATATGTCGATCTATATCTATATCTTATATATAAATATATATATATATATATATATATATATATATATATATATATATATATATATATATATATATATATATATATATATATAGGCCTATACGTATTTGTATATTTAAAAAAAGAAATAAATATACTTAAAAATTAATGCATACACTGACATACTTATCAACTACTCTCCTGTGATATTATTTGTGGACACACAAAAACGAAAAAAACCCTGACAAAATTTCAATGTTAGAAAACTCCTGTCACCCCCACACTGTGACTGCGCGAGGTTTACAGAGCAGGTCGTGTATCTGGGGATTCCCCTAATCACATACCTTAGGAGTGAATACCTCTAGCCTTTCACAAGTAACCAGCACACAACTGTGTTATCCCGCTTGTTATGCGTAACCCGGAACTGCCTTGTGTTATCAGGTTAACTTCTAGGCAACACACCTGTGGCACACTACACCTGTAGTACAAGGCGTGTGGGTGGTGTTTGAATTTCCTGGAAAACGAAAATTCCTTTAAAAAACTTTAAACAAATATATATATATAACTGGTATAAAACTTTTGAGCGTTGAGACATCCGTCACAAGATTGTATGTTCACCCCTCTTTCCCCAACTACAGTCTAGCCTGTTCATGTAGTACTATACTAGTTTTCCTCAATACAACATCATTGACTGTTGTACTGTATACATTTGAATGTACTGCTTGTTCATATATAGCATCAAGACATTAAGATTACCTCGTCAATATTGACAGTATTGATAACTTATTTCTTATTTAAACCAAAACATTAACCATAGAACTAACTTTAATCTTGACTGTAACTTTAGTCCTAAGACAGACTAAACATTAACTTACTTAATGAAAAAGTAAAATAAAATTGATCTGTTTTTGATTTCCCCGGGAAGAAATGTTGAGTTAAGCTTGGTATTTGTAATATCGGATGACGTGCTTAATGTAACTAGTCGGCAGGCAACTAGGGATAAGTGGGATATAGAATTTAGTGACGAGGTGGAAACAGTGTTTCTATCAGTCGTCTATTCCGGGAGTAAGGGTGGGGGGGGGCACCGAAACACGTCTACCGCACCCCCCTATCCGAACGAAATAGAATTTATATAGAAAATATAAATTTTTACCAATGTTCGCCTACCCCCCTCGGAAATGTTAGCACCCCTAGTAAGTTTCGAATGCCCCCCTCGGTCTTCCACCCCGGGAAATAAGAAACAATTTGGGGAGCGTGATAAGCTTACGTGTGACATTTCAGGTCGAGGGTCTGGCATTTTATGACAGTTATGATGGGAAAAAAGACAATACGAGAAGTAAAAATTGTTTAAAAAGCTTGACGTCATTTATGAATGAACCGTCCCCCCCCCCCCGACCCATTAACCATGCACCGCATCTAGACTGTTACAAATTTAGAATCAAGTATTAGCCTCGACTCATTAAGGATAACACAGCGGTTGTTAGCACTATCATCAAGATAGTTGCTTTATTGTCGTGTCATGGGGATACTTTCGTTACAAGCACTGATAAGCAAATCATGAAAAACACCTACTGTTACAACAGGCAGGTTTGAATTGTTAATGTATCTGGAACAGATTCGGATACATTCGTGCAAGGATAGCTAAGGGTAAGCAACACACGTTATTTTTTCCCAGGAAAATTGTTTCAGTCGTTAATAAAATTTAGGACGACAAGGACTTATAGTAGAGTACGGGAAATGGATTCAGCTATGTCCTAGTTTTAAAGAAGCCAATAGTGTTGTTTGATGTATAAATAAATGACGCATTTTATCTTCTTCTTCGATCCTAAAAAAGAAGTTGAACGGGATTTCCTCCAAAATAATTAAGTATTACGTGTCTGCTTTTTATGCAACATATGGACTCTTGACTCCGATTTCAGCCTGCTTGTTTTTCTGCTTTCTTCCGCAGCCTTTAAGCATACAACAAATATCTACAAGGCATCAGATGTTTGGATTGGAGTTGTCTCTCCTACATGGGTCTCTGTCACCAGCTTTCATGCCCCATCTACCCGGGGTTCAAACTCGGAAATTTTCGTTTTACCGACCTGACCACACCGACCCCCACGCATTTATCTAACTGTGGCAGTACGAAGCCAGTGTCATTAAAAAAAAAACAAACTGGCAAGTCAAATCTGTTAAAAAACAAAGCATGTACATACAATTTGTTAGTCAAAACATGATCTCAAGCACCCTGGTAAAAAAAGTTCTACCTGACTGTGGGACCACACGTTTGAATTAAATACATTGTACAGTTTAATTGGAGCTTTGAATAATAAAAAACACCCTATTTTGCAATATACATTTTATTTTATAAAATATAGTTTCAACACAGCATCAAGAATACTAATAACAATAGTATATTTACTAGTATTTGGCAAAATTTAAAAATTGTCGTTTTAAAAAAAAAATCAAAGCTATATGTTTTGTTATATGGTAAACCATGAATTATGCTTGAATGAAATGTATGTATTTATTTATGATTTTAACAACATCCAACAAGGAAACCCGAGTTTTTATTTTACAGGTGAGGAAGTGCTCAACATAATTTCCTTGACACATGCTATTTTAATGAAACATTTAAACACAAAAAAATTCAACAACACACGACTACAACTTTAAAATTTGAAAATGGTTTCTTATTTTCACAGAAATAAACAAATACATATGCCTACTAGTATCTAAAAAGAAAGGAAATAATAAATAATTGGCTGCTGCAAAATGATATTTCAATCAAAGAATTGTATATTTAAAAGTAATGGCTAAATAATTAGCAATAATGAGGTTTAACCAAGAATTTGTTACCCATTTTTGGCGTTATTAATTTATTTTAAAAATAAATGCTTGAGTTCAATTATCTGTACGGGTGATTAAACACATAACTCACGTCAGTTAGTTAGTTAGTCAGTTAGTCAGATGGTCACTTAGCCAGTTAGTCACTTAGTTTGTTAGTCAGATAGTAAGATAGTGAGTTAGTAGGTTTATGAGTTAGTCAGTTAGTCAGTAAGTTATTCAGTTAGTCAGTTAGTCAGTTAGTCAGTCAGTTAGTCAGGTAGTCATTTAGTCACTTAGTCATTTAGCCATTTAGTCATATAGTCATATAGTTATTTAGTCATTTAGTCATTTAGTCATTTAGTCATTTAGTCATTTAGTCATTTAGTCATTTAGTCATTTAGTCATTTAGTCATTTAGTCATTTAGTCATTTAGTCATTTAGTCATTTAGTCATTTAGTCATTTAGTTATTTAGTCATTTAGTCATTTAGTCATTTAGTCATTTAGTCATTTAGTCATTTAGTCATTTAGTCATTTAGTCATTTAGTCATTTAGTCAGTTAGTCATTTAGTCATTTAGTCATTTAGTCATTTAGTCATTTAGTCATTTAGTCATTTAGTCATTTAGTCATTTAGTCATTTAGTCATTTAGTCATTTAGTCATTTAGTCATTTAGTCAGTTAGTCAGTTAGTCAGTTAGTAAGTTAGTCAGTTAGTCAGTTAGTCAGTTAGTCAGTTAGTCAGTTAGTCAGTTAGTCAGTTAGTTAGTTAGTCAGTTAGTCAGTTAGTCAGTTAGTCAGTTAGTCAGTTAGTCAGTTAGTCAGTTAAACAGTTAGTCAGTTAGTCAGTTAGTCTGTTAGTCAGTTAGTCAGTTAGTCAGTTAGTCAGTTAGTCAGTTAGTCAGTTGGTCAGTTAGTCAGCTAGTAAGCTAGTAAGCTAGTAAGCTAGTAAGCTAGTAAGCTAGTCAGCTATTTAGCTAGTCAGTTAGTCAGTTAGTCAGTTAGTCAGTTAGTTAGTCAGTTAGCCAGTTAACCAGTTAACCAGTTAACCAGTTAACCCGTTAACCAGTTAGCCAGTTAGCCAGTTAGTTAGTCGGTTAGCCAATTAGCCAGTTAGCCTTTAGCTAGTTGGCCAGATAGTCAGTTAGTTAGTCAGTTAGTTAGTCAGTTATTTAGTCAGTTATTTAGTCAGTTATTTAGTCAGTTAGTCAGTTAGTCAGTTAGTCAGTTAGTCAGTTAGTCAGTTAGTCAGTTAGTCAGTTAGTCAGTTAGTCAGTTAGTCAGTTAGTCAGTTAGTCAGTTAGTCAGTTAGTCAGTTAGTCAGTTAGTCAGTTAGTCAGTTAGTCAGTTAGTCAGTTAGTCAGTTAGTCAGTTAGTCAGTTAGTCAGTTAGTCAGTTAGTCAGTTAGTCAGTTAGTCAGTTAGTCAGTTAGTCAGTTAGTCAGTTAGTCAGTTAGTCCGTTAGTCTTTAGTCATTTAGTTATTTAGTCATTTAGTCATTTAGTCATTTAGTCATTTAGTCATTTAGTCATTTAGTCATTTAGTCATTTAGTCAGTTAGTCAGTTAGTAAGTTAGTCAGTTAGTCAGTTAGTCAGTTAGTCAGTTAGTCAGTTAGTCAGTTAGTCAGTCAGTTAGTCAGTTAGTCAGTTAGTCAGTTAGTCAGTTAGTCAGTTAGTCAGTTAGTCAGTTAGTCAGTTAGTCAGTTAGTCAGTTAGTCAGTTAGTCAGTTAGTCAGTTAGTCAGTTAGTCAGTTAGTCAGCTAGTAAGCTAGTAAGCTAGTAAGCTAGTAAGCTAGTAAGCTAGTAAGCTAGTCAGCTATTTAGCTAGTCAGTTAGTCAGTTAGTCAGTTAGTCAGTTAGTTAGTCAGTTAGCCAGTTAACCAGTTAACCAGTTAACCAGTTAACCCGTTAACCAGTTAGCCAGTTAGCCAGTTAGTTAGTCGGTTAGCCAATTAGCCAGTTAGCCTTTAGCTAGTTGGCCAGATAGTCAGTTAGTTAGTCAGTTAGTCAGTTATTTAGTCAGTTAGTTAGTCAGTTAGTCAGTTAGTCAGTTAGCCAGTTAGCCAGTTATCCAGCTAGCCAGTTAGCCAGTTAGTCAGTTAGTCAGTTAGTCAGATAGTCAGTTAGCCAGTTAGCCAGTCAAGGAGTCAGACAAAGTCCGACTACCATTAAAAAATGTCAAGCATTCACAAAAATCAAAGGGTGAAATTTACAAAAAAATTAGTGAAAGTTACAAGATTTACAAAGCAGTTCAAACATAAGCAATAGTTGGTTAGAATTATCCCAGGGCTTTGAGACGGCAATAGATTTTGATTTATGGGTAGTAATGGCTCTGGTTTCTGATCGAAATATCATCAGGCTGAAGAAACCACGTTCAATCCCCTGTTGTTCCATAATTCGTTTTGCTCCATTAGTACTGACTCACCGATTTAATAACACAGTCTTGGTTGTCATGCCAACCTTCCGTATTTCAGGTTGTCGGGGATTTATCTTATCTAGTGGTGATAACTTTATTTTACTAAGCTTTAACAGTTGGGTTGGTCATGTGACATATCGTTAAATATGTTTTGAATGGCGACACTTTCAAAAACATGTATTTTTACATATGTTGTAGTGGTATAAATAAATATATCAACAACATTTAGAGAGCGTAATAACTTTAGTAAACACAAACCGAAAGCGTACAAAGTTGAATATTTAGGTTAACTTTTCAACATGCAAAAGAAAAGCTAAGCATGTTCAATTAAATTTTTTTATGTCAAACAATATGGCTTTGGTTATTTATTGACAAATTGTGACAGCCTCATTTTGAAATTGCTGTCTAAAAGCTTGTCCTCGTCTTCAATGATTGACCTGACGTAGTAATTATGGACGTTTTTGTAACTCTCTTTGATAGACTGCATTAATAATATTTTACATCTTCTCATTGGCTTAGTGTTAAAATAAATGTTTTTGAAACATTCAATTAAATGTGTAATGTCGTTGTGTATACTGGCGTCGATCTTGATTTGTCCAGTAACATCTGTTTTTATTTTACTTCTTCTCTTATCAATGATATAATAGTTATTGTCTGCTTTTTTATTTTTCTCTGTATATCCTTCATCACAACGTAGTATCATTTGTTTGTCTTGGTATTCTTTCCATACAGTTTCCAAATGATCGACAAGTTCTGTAGGTTCTGGTTGCATTCCATGCGGTTCTTTCCAAACTATTTCTAGTAGTAAAGCAATATTTTTTAAAATGCCCTCATACAGCATATAATTCAATAAATGTTGATTGTTTATCTTTATGTGTTGAGTAGTACTTTCTTGTTCCAACTTGTTTAGAAAAAAACTCAACGATTCCGTTTTATTTTCTATATCGTAATGAACGAATTTTTCTTCACATATGCTTTTAACTTTTATATAATCATCTTCTTGCAGCTTTACGTTTTTTAATTCAGTTTCATAAATAACGACAGGAATAATATATTTCATATTTAATCCGAAATTTTCATGTAATATGTTTGTCACAGTGTTATGTCTATATATATATATATATATATATATATATAAATATAAATATAAATATATATATATATACACCTATTGTTTGGCGTTTACTTGGTGCGCAATTTTTTTCTACGAGATTCCATTCTATTTTTAAAAGTTTAAGTAAATAAAAATGGATTAAACATATTGTCTATATCCCGAGTTGCCATCCCCCGTAGTGTTATATAAGAATATTCGAGAAAGTTTAGGGGAGATCACTCGAAGTTTATTTTTATATTTTGATAAGTAATTGCTCAATGATATGACGAACCACTGAAACATCTTATCGTGATTGCGGGTTTGTAATGGTTAATTTAGGTTTAAAAAAATTTGGTTTACATATTATCTTCAAGTTGTATATAATCTTTAGAAAACTAGCATTCAAATTAATGTGAGCATACAGTTAAAGGATCGTTCATTGTTTTAAATATATCACATTACCCATTTTTCTTGAAACTGTTAGGGGCATAAAAGGGTGAGTTTACAAAACTATTATTAACTAGATCATCACATGTTCTAATGAAATTGAACAATATTTTTCAGGAAGGTAGCCGATGAAAATCTCGCCAAAATAACATCGTCAATATTACTGTTGGGTACTTTGAATAGTAACAAGGAACTGTTTAAGAGATCAATTCTTCAAAAAGAGTACTGTATTAAAACAACAAAAGACAACAATAAAAAACTAATAGTTGATTCAAAACATGGCGACATACTGTTTGAAATGAGTAAGCCATTTTTTGGAAGTTTCCCTGCTATTTCACTGCCAGATTTAGACAACATACAATTACACTATACGCAACACGGTGATCATATAATTAAACTAGTTGACGGGCCTGCGTTCGATTCTAAGAATATAGAAGAATTTATATTTTATACAAAATCATGTTTTGCCTTAAGTGTCGAAGGATACAACGCAATAGTTGTGGCCTTCACGAACGACAGAGCAGATGATTGTAACACTGTGACAAACATATTACATGAAAATTTCGGATTAAATATGAAATATATTATTCCTGTCGTTATTTATGAAACTGAATTAAAAAACGTAAAGCTGCAAGAAGATGATTATATAAAAGTTAAAAGCATATGTGAAGAAAAATTCGTTCATTACGATATAGAAAATAAAACGGAATCGTTGAGTTTTTTTCTAAACAAGTTGGAACAAGAAAGTACTACTCAACACATAAAGATAAACAATCAACATTTATTGAATTATATGCTGTATGAGGGCATTTTAAAAAATATTGCTTTACTACTAGAAATAGTTTGGAAAGAACCGCATGGAATGCAACCAGAACCTACAGAACTTGTCGATCATTTGGAAACTGTATGGAAAGAATACCAAGACAAACAAATGATACTACGTTGTGATGAAGGATATACAGAGAAAAATAAAAAAGCAGACAATAACTATTATATCATTGATAAGAGAAGAAGTAAAATAAAAACAGATGTTACTGGACAAATCAAGATCGACGCCAGTATACACAACGACATTACACATTTAATTGAATGTTTCAAAAACATTTATTTTAACACTAAGCCAATGAGAAGATGTAAAATATTATTAATGCAGTCTATCAAAGAGAGTTACAAAAACGTCCATAATTACTACGTCAGGTCAATCATTGAAGACGAGGACAAGCTTTTAGACAGCAATTTCAAAATGAGGCTGTCACAAGTTGTCAGTAAATAACCAAAGCCATATTGTTTGACATAAAAAAATTTAATTGAACATGCTTAGCTTTTTTTTTTGCATGTTGAAAAGTTAACCTAAATATTCAACTTTGTACGCTTTCGGTTTGTGTTTACTAAAGTTATTACGCTCTCTAAATGTTGTTGATATATTTATTTATACCACTACAACATATGTAACAATAAATGTTTTTGAAAGTGTCGCCATTCAAAACATATTTAAAGATATGTCACGTGACCAACTGTTAAAGCTTAGTAAAATAAAGTTATCACCACTAGATAAGATAAATCCCCCACAACCTGAAATACGGAAGGTTGGCATGACAACCAGGACTGTGTTATTAAATCGGTGAGTCAGTACTAATGGAGCAAAACGAGTTATGGAACAACAGGGGATTGAACGTGGTTTCTTCAGCCTGGTGATATTTCGATCAGAAACCAGAGCCATTACTACCCATAAATCAAAATCTATTGCCGTCTCAAAGCCCTGGGATAATTCTAACCAACTATTGCTTATGTTTGAATTGCTTTGTAAATCTTGTAACTTTCACTAATTTTTTTGTAAATTTCACCCTTTGATTTTTGTGAATGCTTGACATTTTTTAATGGTAGTCGGACTTTGTCTGACTCCTTGACTGGCTAACTGGCTAACTGGCTAACTGGCTAACTGGCTAACTGGCTAACTGACTAACTGACTAGCTGACTAACTGACTAACTGACTAACTGACTAACTAACTGACTAACTGACTAACTGACTAACTGACTAACTGACTAACTGACTAACTGACTAACTGACTAACTGACTGACTAACTGACTAGCTGACTAGCTGACTAACTGACTAACTGACTAACTGACTAACTGACTAACTGACTAACTGACTAACTGACTAACTGACTAACTGACTAACTGACTCATAAACTTACTAACTCACTATCTGACTATCTGATTAACTGGCTAAGTGACTAACTGGCTAAGTGACCAACTGACTAACTGACTAACTGACTAACTGACTAACTGACTAACTGACTAACTGACTAACTGACTAACTGACTAACTGACTAACTGACTAACTGACTCATAAACTTACTAACTCACTATCTGACTATCTGATTAACTGGCTAAGTGACTAACTGGCTAAGTGACCAACTGAGTAACTGAGTAACTGAGTAAATGACTAACTGACTAACTGACTAGCTGACTAGCTGACTAGCTGACTAGCTGACTAACTGACTAACTGACTAACTGACTAACTGACTGACTAACTCATAAACTTACTAACTCACTATCTGACTATCTGATTAACTGGCTAAGGGACTAACTGGCTAAGTGACCAACTGAGTAACTGACTAACTGACTAACTGACTAACTGAGGTGAGTTATGTGTTTAATCACCCGTACAGATAATTGAACTCAAGCATTTAGTTTTAAAATAAATTAATAACGCCAAAAATGGTTAACAAATTCTTGGTTAAACCTCATTATTGCTAATTATTTAGCGATTACTTTTAAATATACAATTCTTTGATTGAAATATCATTTTGCAGCAGCCAATTATTTATTATTTCCTTTCTATTTAGATACTAGTAGGCCTATGTATTGGTTTATTTCTGTGAAAATATGAAACCATTTTCAAATTTTAAAGTTTTAGTCGTGTGTAGTTGTATTGTTAGTTTTTAAATGTTTCATTAAAATAGCGTGTGTCAAGGAAATTATGTTGAGCACTTCCTCACCTGTAAAATAAAAACTCGGGTTTCCTTGTTGGATGTTGTTAAAAGCATAAATAAATACATACATTTCATTCAAGCATAATGCATGATTTACCATGTAACAAAACATATAGCTTTAATTTTTTTTAAACGACAATTTTTAAATTCTACCAAATACTAGTAAATATACTATTGTTATTAGTATTCTTGATGCTGTGTTGAAACTATATTTTATAAAATAAAATGTATATATATATATATATATATATATATATATATATATATATATATATATATATATATATATATATAACATTCTTTTCTTACCGGAATTCTTCTGAAGCGTCTGTATCTGGCTTACCTATCAAAGTATTAAAAAACGAATTTAATCAGTTATAAGATGATAATGTTCAATGCAAATGTAATTATATGTGTGTTGGAGGGAGATTATTTGCAATCCAGTTAATTAATGGAAAAGGAATTGAAGATACATGAACTCTAGTGAAATCTGTTAAGGTGTTATAAGTTAAGGCATATTGTAAAAACAAAATTCCCATCTTATTTAATACGTTATGAGAAATGAGCAATTAAAAAACTCATAAACCCTCGCGTGCACCGGTAATACAGAGAACTAAAATTCTCTTTTAATAGCACACATATAAAATATGAAGCGGGGGCTAATGTGCAGTGTCTGATCTCCGTGATTAGTTATGGTTCGGTTTTTAACCAATTTTCATTTTACTTGTTTACACTCTGTAATTCGATAAGTTAATTATGATGCAAGATTGTTCGTTGGAAACTAGAACTAAGTCACATTATCGAGTAAATGCTGTTTAATGGTCACAAAATCGGATGAATAAAACAAAAGATCTTACACTTTTTTTTGTAAACCAGATGTGCGGTTATCAGTAAAATAGAAATCGCTAAGATAGTTGAAACAGCGATCAAAGCACCGTTGTCACAGTCAGTAGGACCTATAATAAAGTTTAGCTAATGGTTAGAGACCGGAAACATTGTGTATATATATATATATATATATATATATATATATATATATATATATATATATATATAAATAAATTTTAAAATATATATATATATATATATATATATATATATATATATATATATATATATATATATATATATATATATATATATATACATTTTCAACACATTTTATAGATGGACTATTTTCTAATCCGCTAATTAACACAATAGAATGAAATGTTTAGTTCACCAAATTAAAATATATAAGATACCTTACCGTCTGTACAAACAACAGGACGCAAGGCACACGAAATATTATTTGTCACTGCAAATTTAAAAACAAGTTCGCATTCATTGTAAAAACCATATATATATATATATATATATATATATATATATATATATATATATATATATATATATATATATTATAACTGTATATATATATATATACATATATATATATATATATATGGTCTATATACATTTATATATCTATTATAATAATCTTAACGTATACTTACAGGCGTTAGGAATTGTCAGCGCGCTGGATAGCTTATTTGTGAATGTGTAAACATCAGACTCCTGCTTGACCATCCTGCTGTTCATGAACCAATCAAAATTTGAAAAACGTTTTCTGGAATCTTGTCTCTTGCAACTGCATTTTAGGCCATTTCCTTCTTCCGCACAGTTTTGCATTGTTACGTACTCGGGCGCTTAAGATAAAATTATACCGTGTTAAAATATTTTTTTATACATTAATTTATCAGCTGAACTGCTTTAAAATAGATGCATTAATATATTGATTGGCAACAATTTAAATACATTTTTTTGAATATATTAATGAATAGAGAGCAGTAAAGTTTTTTTTGTAAATAAACACCACTTTAACACTCGAACTTTAAGTGTGTTTATATTGGAGCAGGACAAAAAAGTTTACTTGTAAGTTGTATGGATTAAGAGAAAGCCACAATGCTTTATAAAAAATTATATATTCAATATGATTTACTATCAATTTTTTTATTTGTTAAAAACATAGCATCAGCAAATAACTAAACCTTTAATATGTTATATAAAGTGGTTTTTTTTGCATGCAGCTTTTCTATAAAGTTGGTAATGAAACATTATTTACCGATTTGCAGTGCTATGAATTGAGTTGTTCCCAAAATATTTTTTTTCCTGAAACCTATGACATTTGGGAATATACTGATGGTTAAGTCATTTCGTTTTAAATACATATCTTCTGTTCGGATGATCACTTTACATGTAGCTTTATAATATAGAGGATTTTCAGAGATTTTATAGTTCTCACAAGAAGTCTCTTGAAGCTGGTAACCATTCCTATAAACATCCATCTATAAAATGTAGTAATTTTTTCTGATTAAACAATTTAACTAGCATTAGGTGATTTATGTGTGAATAATATGAATACAAACTCACGTATATTCAACTTCATATGTATGAAGCCTATATATCTATATAAATACAAATCAAAGTATGTGTGTCTGTCTATCTGTCTGTCTTTCCGTCTGTCCTTTATGCATTTCTTAACCTTTCATTCGATTGCCATAACACTTTGGGGTTTTTCCTACTGGTAATAGTCAAGGGGAGGTTTTTGAGAGAAAAAAAAGAAGGGCGGCACCCTGGCAGGGGAGGGGGGGGGGGGGGGTGCTTTGCGATTTTTCTGTATAACGGCATAAATAAATTTAAAAAAATTCATAAAAAACGTTTTAATTACAAGCTTTTATGTAATAATGCACTAAAAAATAGAAAATAAAATACAGACTACTATTTAAATAACTATAAAGAAAAGCGTGGGTCACTTTAGTATCTATTGGATAAGAAAAGCGTAGGTCACTTTAGTATCTATTGGATACCTTTACTAATGTTAAGGAAGACACCCACGCTTTTCTTTATAGTTATTTAAATGGTTCCATGACAAATGATCTCAGGATAAATGATCTCAGACAAAATATCTCAGACAAAATATCTCACGGACAAATAATCTCAGGACAAATGATCTCAGGACAAATGATCTCAAGGACAAATGATCTCATGGACAAAAGATACCAGGACAAAATATATCAGGACAAATGATATCATGGACAAATTATCTCAGACAAAATATCTCAGACAAAATATCTAGACTGACGACAAACTGTTGACTGACGACTGACGACAGAGGAAGTGAGTTAAATAAAAGCTTGTAAAAATTGATTGCGGTTTGGCACCCAGAATTACCGCGAATCTCTCTTAGCACTTGGTATATGTTGACTGACTGTTCTGCATTGGGGGACAGGGGCGTTACGTAATTCAACGGAAGAACTTGAACAGTCGCATCCGCAGGCGGTACAGCGGTTAAATGAAACGGAGCGCCCCGCCCCCATGATACACTACGAATACGCTGGGCTACTATAATCATTCGCTAAATCAAATATAGTGTCCTCCGGCGCTCCGGTAAGGGGTGATTTGACGCCACAGACTCCCCCGTCAGCACTATATTCGTTTTAAAAGGTGAGATGCACTATGGGCGATATGGACTACTATAATTATTCACCTTTGGCGTTTATGTTTGTAACGCTGTCTGCGTTGCGTTGCGTTTAAGTTGGTTTGAGTTTGTGTTTGCTTTTGTGTTTTTGTTTGTGGTTGCGACTGTTTTTGCTTTTGCGTCGGCGTTTGTGTTTGCGTACGCATATTTGTATGTGTACGTGTAAGCGTTTCTGTTTATGTTTGCATTCCTATTTGCGTTAGCTTTGTGTTTGCGTTTGTGTTTGTGTTTTGTCCTGATATATTTTGTCCTGAATTCTTTTGTCCGTGACATCATTTGTCCTTTCGATAATTTGTCTTGAGATCACTTGTTCTGAGATCATTAGTCCGTCGGGTATATTTTGTGTGAGGTCATTTGTCCTGTCAACATATAGACAAATAGTTATGTAAAATGATTTTAAAAATAAAGAAAATGTTTTGTAAACGTTACCGGATAGTTTTTATTTGATTACTTATTTCTCGTCAGCAAATTCGACGTTATACAATGTATAATATACATACCATAGCTTCAGGGTATATCCTACTAGTAAAACAAGAAGTTGAAAATCTTTCAGGGGATAAATCAGATAAGCAAGTCATATTTTCCGCCTTTGCTGTTTTCAATACAAATTATAGTAATATGTCAAAATGTTTTATATAAAACAAAAAGTTTTAACTTTTCAAGTATGGCAGTTAAAGTTTAAAATATTAAAATATTTGAAATATAATAATTAATAAATTAAAGGCCTTATATTAAATATATATAAGTGATTTTTTCTGAAATGAAAAGTTATATAAAATAAAATTGTTATCCAAGAAGGAGACGATTTTTAGCGGTTACCATATACATTCAGCACACAACTATAAACATCTTGTGCTGTAGGTTCCATGGTGTGTGTTTTCAATGTCCAGATACCATTGGCGTTTTTTGAATCGTCCCTAGTTACGTTCCTAATATTCAAGATAAACTGGACGTCTTCATCATTTTTTACCACTTTTGCTTGTATCCAGTTAATGTCGTTGTTGCTACAGACTCCAGCCTCCACTGGACACTCAGACATCAGCTGACCATCTTTATACCATAACAACACTTTCCTGTACTCGGGGATGGTTGTCAGTGTGTAGCTCATCTGGTAGGGTTGTCCTTCTTCAGCGGGTTGGCATTTGTCATCCGTTACAGCTAAAGCAACAATTATAATATTATATGTCAATTTAGACTTACAACTTATGCGACAATTGATATTAATATTAACAGCATAACATTTTGTACAATAATACTTTTAGTTTTATAACTCTTCCAAAAATGTTTTTTGGCTAAAAATCACTTTTCATTATTTTAGATTGGCATCGGGATCAGGACGATTATCAGGAAAAAATAGTCCTACTTGTTAGAATTCTAAAATATGTGAAAACATCGCACCCTTTATTTATGCACAGATTTTCATATTATTTATCATAATTTTTTTCTATGAAAACAATCATAATAACCTCTTGCCAAAGTTTCAGTTTTGCAAGAGAAACAAATACTGAAAATATGGCATATATGAAAATAACGAAGAGAATAATAATAATATTAAGTATACATTTATGTACACATTAATGTTATTTACGCTTAGTGACCGACAGGGCTTTAAAAGTTTGTAACTCTAACGCTTTCTAATTACTTGTTTCATTGCATTGTCAATTGGAAAGTACGATTAGATAAAGTAATCGCTGTACAGTAATAAACCTTTGAAACAATCTTTGAGTATTATAACGACTATACTGTTATCGTTTGTAAACTGGAAATGGCCTATAGATTCTTGAAATGGAGCACTCGTAAATCCAAGCGAGGATTATGAACCAACTCAAATAATTTTAAAAGGCACGTGGTTTAACTACAATTTACGATGATTTATTAGGACCGCTAGGTGATACCTGTGAACTAACATAGGTTTGCCGAGGTAAATCGGCGCTTGATTAATTAAGGCAAAGATTTACATATATATATATATATATATATATATATATATATATATATATATATATATATATATATATATATATATATATATATATATTACCCTTTTTAAAAAGATTATTTTATTATCATTAAAAACATATTTGTTTACGTCAGTCTTTTATGCTTTATCTTTGGATTAGTCTCTGTTATGATGTGTTACATAGTTGAATTATAAGTTTGTTAGAATAATGTCATACAAGTGATACACAATAGTAAATTATCATAAACAGTTATTGTACACATTGGAATACGGCATTGGTATTCCGTTGACTGGTTGATTGAATAATGAAACAAGCTATAGGAAACAAATGGGTTTCGCAGATGTGCGCTGTCATCTTGCACATAGTCAACAACAAATGCAGAGTAAATTTAACTGGTTGAAAAAACAGTAATAACAGGTTTAATGATAGGGGCATGACGTTCAGATTAAAATAAGCAGCAATGAAATGCTTTTTCACTTTCTAAACCAATGTGGAATTCAAATGAATTGTCAAACAAAATTCAATACATATCTACAGCTGAATGTGAAGTACTTTTACTTTGTAGCGTGGAGCTAGGTGATTACAGAGAATAAAATAATAGCAACGAAAAGGTGGTGGTTAGGGCACAATATCACAAAGACAGTAAATAACATCACTAAGCAGGTGCTTTGCACGGGGAAAGAGGAAGAAGGCGAGACCAAAAAGTCGTGAAGGAAATCGTTTGAAATTATCAGGGGTCGATCTTCATATAAATCAATAGAGTTGACGCTTATGTTTTGTAGGAAGCCGAAACGGATAAAAGGAGGAAACTAAAAGAGTTAAGAGCAGTGGTTCTTAATCTGGGTTCGATCTATCCCAAGATGTGCTGTGAGTCGCTCTCAGGGCTTCGGCGGAGGTCAAGACACACACCCGACCCATGTGAATTATAATCGGATTTAGCCAGTGAAGACTATATAACTATTAAGACGTGTGCGGTGAATGCGAATATGAAACTGGTGGGGTTCGGTACCTACAAAAAGGTTAAGAACCGCTGCTTTCGTGAATAGTTTGTAGAAGGCACAAGCTTAGTTGGTCCAAAACTAGTACGGCCTATACCACAGTGTTAAATTATCAGTTAGGTTGAACAATGTAACAAAGCAGAAGCAGACGTAGTGTTGTACTAGTTTACCATAGTTATCTATATGAAAATTGCAGTATCAGGACTTGTTATGAAACAGGCAATAAAAAAATAAATTTCTATTCTGTACAATATACTACTTTTTAGTAAACATGTCTATTAGGCGACTTGAAATGAAGAAAGCCGTGTTGTATTATTTTTAGCTCTTAAAATTTCGGCCAAAGATTATCGACTTCACAAAACATTTCCGACCGTATGCTACTTTACTGATCATATAGTGACACAAAAATCTGTGATATTTATTCCTCTTTAATATGGTGAACCAGGCAAGATGTAATGCAATCTAGTAAAAAGTATCTAATCTCTCACGTTGAAGTTGAGAGTATCCTAAGAATCGCGTCATTTAACATAACTGGCTAGTGAAATCGTACATTACAATTTAATAAATTGGTTTATATTCTAAGTGTTAAACAATTTATCTACTCACCGTTCCGGTGTAAATTTTTTACATTTGCTGAAAAGCCCCACCCCCCCCCCCCCCTCTTTTTCTTATTTTATTGTTACACAATATTCTTTAATACCTTTTTTTTCTAAGTGTTAAAAGAGTTATCGAATCACCAATCAAGTACAGATCCTTGCTATTTTTATTGACGCAAAAGCCCCCCCCCCCCACCTCACAAAATTGGACACAGTTGGCAGAGCGGGTTGTAACGTCAGTAACTTTTTAACGGTTACTCAGTCGTACAATACACGTTACCCAATCGCTGTTTCTTATAAGTAAAACAAGTTACCTACTCACCAGCCCAGTGTAAATCCTTCCGATTTTAGTCAGCGGAAAAACGCATCCCCCCTCCCCCCAAATCTAGGAAAAAACGGAAAGCAGTTTTTGTCGGCCGCTGTTTCTTAAGGGGATTTATTTTACAGTTATGCAATCAACGTAGAAAATGGTTAAATTAGTATGTAAAGGCTTGTAGCTTTTCTTACATTCTTAACTTTGTCTTTTTATAGTTCGTAATTGCAGTTTAAAAGGAGCTTTTAAATTTTTTTCTACCCCTTTTGGCGCCTCCCCTATATAAGGCGCCTGCGGCGGTCGGCCCTTCTCCCCCTCGTTAGTTACAAATCTGCACTCATTGCAATTGAGTATGTGATGGGCATAGTCTAGAGAGGACAAGAAACACGCGATCTCAACTTAATTGTAACTTATTGAAACGTGGTTAAAGTGAATGATTAGGTTATTGACAATTTAAGAACATTTATATTTCAATGATATTTTTTTTTCTATCAACGCTAATAAAAAAAATGTAACATACCTGACCAAGATTTCAACGCATTGTGTTAAATATGTGATAGCGACAGTGATGTTTTGATAAAGCAGTGTCAGTAGTAGGTATGTGTAGCCTATATATACATGTGTGTTATATATAGATTAGGCAAAATAAAATAGTGACAAGTTCTTATATTGTCGTCATGTATTCAATCATAATTGTTACGTCAATGACATATAGTTTCCCCTGATTGTGTGTGTAGGGTGCTCGAACAACAGGTACCCTCTTGTTGTATATAGTTGTAGCCCTTGATTGAGTGTATTCACATAGCACTAGACTTGTTCGCGTGAGGATTGACTGTTGAGAGAGCGTAGGGTGTGGAGAAGAACAGCTAGTAGACGAGTGTTGTTGACGTTTGTGGTGTGGTGTTAAGTACTGTTGTATCGCCTTTTATAAAATTATCTATCTCTTGTATTAATCTCTTCATTTTTATTTATTATCAGCATTAGTATTGTCGTATCCGTTGTAATGTGCTATACGTTGAATTGTCCTATATCAGGAGTCGTCAACTTTTTAGACGGAAGAGCCAAAAGTTACAACTACTTTTTCGACTTGTGCATCGTTACGTGCATGTATTACTGGAACTCCAACGCTTCCAACCTGCTCTTGAGTTTTGTGAACTTACCACGCCTCAAATGTTTGGTTTTCAAATCCAGCCATTTCATTTAAGCGAACCAGCATCAATTCCAAATGGCTGAATGTTGATCTCATCTGTATTTCTGTGAGATGATTTAAAATAAACCCCAGAGTACTTGCGTTTGTTTTGAATTACCCAAATATATCCGCCAATCCATCATTCCTTTTTTATATTAATGCTGAAGTAATTCGTGTTGCATTGTTTTCACTGCGTTATTGCTTCAGATGTTAAAAAGAAAGTAATTCGCCGATCTCCATTTCTCAACAAAAAGAGAATTCATTTTCGAAACAAACCATTTCTTGGAGCAAGGAGGAGGCTGTATTTCCTTTTCTTTGCAGTTTTACATTTAATTCGGGATGGAGGATGCCATTTTAATTGAAGAATGTTTCACTCAAGCAAGAAGCGAACCTTTCAAAACGTTACCCATGGAAAGCCATCGGACTTTATTGTGCACGAGTTTGTCAGCAAACTGGCTTTCTATTTTTTCGAAAAATTCCTTAAGCTTGCGATGGTGGATTGCTTTTGCAAAAATGCTGTAAATGATCTTAATAACCGTTCATGACCTCAACCCAAGCAGCTGTCAGCTGTCCGTACACGCTCTACCGCCCAGTTCTCCGTTGAGTTTTTTTTATCCTGTTTTTTGCAGTGTAATATGTTTTATGAGTATTACAATAAAATACTATAATAATAATATTTGTGCATGGAACTAGAGAGCCGCATCTTGACATCAAAGATCCGCATGCGGCTAGAGAACCGCAGGTTGCCGAACCCTGTCCTATATTATAATGTTAGACGGAAAAACCCAATTATAAGTAAAGACTTGTTGTAAAAAGTTTTTTTTTTCAACTATGGCATTTCATACCTTGTTCTCTCTAAAATCTGTATCTTTATGAGACTTTATTAGGCTTTTGTTTTACCAGTTTTACAATCGCCCAGTTTTCTTAAAAATCTTTATATCTATTAGACTGTATCTATATTCATACATACTTGAAGTATTCAATATTTATCAACTAGAAGACAGATTGTGTTTTAATAATGTACTCTACTAATTAAAACTTTAATGTGAACATTATTACCACAGTAAAATCTGCTCTTATCACTTAGTAACTGAATT